GGCTATTATTTCTGAAACATGCTGGAAAACCAAGTACACGTGATGGCACAATCATTGGAGATAATGGTCCCTCCCCCCCCCCATTTTCTGCCCCCATCTCTTTCTTTTGGGAGTTTTCACCTCCAAAAAGCAGGAATGTGCTAATCTCTTGCCATGCCAAGGAAAAGCCTCTGCAAACAGCCAGAAAGAATGCAGAAAGTCCAAGCTCTGTTTGCACTTAGTGGGAAAGCATGCAGGACAGGACAGCGCAGCTCAAAAATGCTCACTCTGCAAACAGTGATTTCAGCATCAGATTTCAACACCTAAGAACAAGGGGCATGCCATTTGTTTATTTATTTGTGTGCCTATGTTGGTGCACAGTGGTTTCCACATGTTCAGACTATAGGGTTACATAAACACACAGTCTTCTCCAGTAACTCCTCCACAGACAACTAATCCAATTTAACTCAATTTACTGGTCTGGTTCACATAAGCCTTTTCATTACTTCATCTAATGGCCACAAAGATACCAAATGATGATTTGCACATATGAATAGACCTTTTCAGCCACAGCCACACAGATAAAAACTTTCATCATTAAATATATTGCTTTTCAATAAAATTGGTTCCTACTGTCTGTGCTTGCCTACAGCACACTCACCAAGCTTACGCTGGGCCTCCCTAGCATTTTCTCATTTTGGATTCTAAAGCACTCTACACATGGCTTGGATGTTCTGTCCCTTGTGTTGGCGCACAACACTTCTCAGAATTAAATGTTGTGGTGCAGGCTGAGCAGGGAGGAAGGGCTGGATTGGGGCCTTAGGTTTGGATTATGCCCTGGGCATCCACAAAAAGATGGCTACATAAAAATCAATTAACAATCCAGATGCACTCAATGGCTAAATGTGGTCATTTCCAAAATCCTCTTTTGTTACAAAGCCCTTGCATATATTTAGTGTTACACACCATTCCTTTCAGCTTGCCTTGATTGATTTTGGAGAGAACAGTTTCCAGGCAAGGGATCAAAACAGAGGCAAGTTAATTACTTTGCACTTAAAAGACATGCCAGGAGCCATGCCTAGAGGTATCTGGCTGCAAACTCTTCTTCTTCCCCCTCAATCTAAACTAGATAAACTCAACAGTCGTACCTCTAATGAGGAGCACAGACCCCAAATAACTCACGTCTCCCTCCCAGCCTTCAATCCAGACCTGAGGAATGTTGGGCTACCTCCAGGGACCATCATCCTCAGGCAACATAGGATGACCTGACTTGTAGTCACACAATATCTGCAGGGCCCAAAAGTTATAAATATCTGCTTTAATTGTAGTGCTCATTGTTAAGGATACTCCAATCTGTAGTGAGGCACAGTCTGTTTTGTAAAATATACAGTACTGTGGGGTGAAGACTAGAGTAATATTCTAACTGAGGTGGAAATATTTTGAAGACCATTGCCTTTAAATATTTTGAATGCTCATTGCCTTAAAAACAAATGCTTTATTCCATTTTTTTCCTGTTTCATGTAATACGTTCGTTCAGTCTTTTGAATCAATGTAAAAATAAAACAAATCAAAAACTGGAAAAAAAAAACATTGTCTGGGAGTGAAATGTCTAGGCAAATTCTGTCTGCACACATAAGTACTCTGTAGTTAAATTGGTTCAAGTAAAATCCCTTTAACTATTATGACTCTTTGCCCCATCTTGCAAAGATTTAGAAATTGACCATTTGTGTTGTGATTAATAATTCCTAGCATTTGTATACCACTTTAAATGCAGTATTCAAAATGCTTCACATATGTTTTCTTGAGAAGCCTTATAACATGCATCTGATGGGACAGTCTTATGTGTTGTCAAGTCACATCTGACTTAGTGCAATTCTAACAGAGTTTCCAAAGTATGTGAGATGTTTAGGTAGTGATTTGCCAGTGCCATTGCCATTGTGGGTTTCTATGGCCAAGCAGGGATTTGAATCTGGTTCTCCCAAGTCCTAGCCAGAGCCTCTACTCACTACACCATGGCACCACACCGCAGGTAGTGGTGGCCTCACAAAATCTATAGTGACGGGGGGAGGGATTTCTCCACCTCACAAACAATTTCAGGGGGGAGAGGATAGCTCAACTTGCTTTTGCCCCTTTTAACAGCCACTGGGAGAAAGGAATTTGGGCTGCATGCTATATACAGAAGGGCATCGTAAAGCCCAAAATCAGCAGGAAAGAGAATCCGTTAACCACTTGCTGTCACAAAGTGGAAGGCTGAAAAATACAGAGATGGAGATGATTTGGTTACTATGCTAATGGGAGTCAAATAAGAGCTTCTGGTAGTTTTATTAGGCACAGTCCACCAAACCATTTCCTCTTTCCACACAAGATATTCTGAAGATGTGCATTGAACAGCTATTCTTTCTTTTTCCTGTAATGGATTTTTTTGGTAAAAATGTCAGGAAAAACAACAAGAGATTTCTAAGCTGTTTGAAGAATTTTTACAGTAGCCTGATATTGCTATACATGAAATAAATCCTTCCTGGTTTAACAGAACTTATTTTCTGTAAGCATATGTCAAATTTCAGCTTTATGGTTCCTTGGACAAGAAATCCATTATTATATGACCAGGTTAACAGCACAATCCCATGTATGCCTTCCTGGGACTCCACCTGTTTTCCAGATTCCAACATGACTAAACATGGATTGCCATGCAACCCTCTTAACATATCACAAGCAGTTCCATCAAAATCTTGAGTGTTCTGTATATCAACTGCAAATTAGATTACATGTCAAGAGCCTTTCCAGAGAATAAGTGTATAATACAATGATCAATACCACAAAATGAGAACACCCCTTCCTCATTTATATATTTTTTAAATGGTCTCAAAATTATCCCCAAAATTAGGGATACACTGAGAGTACTCAGAAGTGGCTCACCACTTCCTTCTTCTAGGGTCATTCTGGGACTGTGCGTCTTGCCCAAGGCTACACAGGCTCTTCTCTTGGGAGTCACAGTGGGAAATCAAACTCCCAGTCTCTGGCTCTGCAACCAGATAACTAACTCACTAAGCTATCCATAATCACTAGCTATCAAGAATAATCACTAGTTAAACAGTCTTGTTTGACAAACTTGGACAAATCTGGACAACATATTAAAAAGCAGAGACCTCACCTTGCTGACAAAGGTCCACATAGTCTAAGCTATGGTTTTTCAGTAGTGATGTATGGAAGTGAGAGGTGGACCATAAAGAAGGCTGACGGCCAAAAAATTGATGCTTTTGAATTGTGGTGCTGGAGGAGACCCTCGAGAGTCCCCTGGACTGTAAGGAAAACAAACCTATCCATTCTGAAGGAAATCAACCCTGAGTGCTCACTGGAAGGACAGATCCTGAAGCTGAGGCTCCACTACTTTGGCTATCTCATGAGAAGAAGACCCTAATGTTGGGAAAATGTGAAGGGAAGAGGAGAAGGGGATGACAGAGGATGAGATGGTTGGACAGTGTCATCGAAGCTACCAACATGAATTTGACCCAACTCCGGGAGGCAGTGGAAGACAGGAGGGCCTGACGTGCTCTGGTCCATGGGGGAACTAAGAGTCGGAGACAACGTAAGGACTAAAAAACAACAAACAGTCTTGATTACTTAGCATAACCTAAAAAGAGAATAGATTACAAAGAGCTTGCAAATGATCTCTTCAAACCACAGAATGGGCGTTAAAATGGCAAATGAGTTTCAGTGTATGCAAGTGTAATTGGAGCAAAACATCTCACCTTCACTCAAGCATTCATTGACTCTGAGCTGATAGTGACTGAAAATGAAGGGGATTTTGAGATTATGGTAGATACCTGGGTGAAAATGACACAGTGTGCAGGTGGTGTTTTTGAAAATGTTGACTTAAAAGCATGCACAATTGCAGAAAATAAGAAATTACACTGCCAGTGTTGAACTGCTTTTATAAAGACCACACTTGGAAGGTACAGCACTGGTTACACTTCAAAAGAAGAGCCAGTGTGGCATCCTAGTTAGCATTGGATGGGGACTAGGAAATCCAAGCCCCCAATGAGCTTTGGAACTGATAGGGCGAACTTAGTCCAGTCATCAATTCTGGTGTGGAGAAAGCAGATAGACGGAAGCCCTCCCCTCATTATACTAGCACCCAGGTTCACTGGCTGAAGCTGAATGAGGGGAGATTTGGAACAGATAGTGACTTATTTCCTCTCATGTGCTGTGGAATGCACTGCCACAAGGGGTGGTGGCCATGGCTGACTGTAGAAAGAGATGGGACAAATTCATAGTGGAGGGGGCTATGAGTGGCTCCTAGCCATGAGGAATATCTTTATGTACTCCAACCAGGCCAGAAGGGAGGTGGGACTGCACTCCTTTCTTGCTGGCTCCCCTCCCTAAGGAAATGGTCCCCCTGTGGAAACGAAAGGATGGACTAGATAGGCCTGGCTTTTCTTGGGTGTCCTTTAGTCACTTTTCTCCTCTCTCTCTCTCCTGCCAGTTTGGAGCCCATTTTGAGCGCTTGGTCCCCATTATGCCTTCTCCACTCTTCTGCCTTCGGCCAACAAAAAACGACCCACCCTATACCCTCCAACGCTGCTATTTTCTTGAGGCCTTCGGGAGCCACACCCGGTGTTTCCACAGTTTCGCAGCAGTAAAGGCGCGGGGGGTGGGGGGGGGAGAGGGTCCATCGCCGTCCATGTTCGGACAGCTGCTGCCCCCTTTGGGTCTCCTCGCCGAAGGGAAGGCCGCTGGACCACAAATAAGTAATAAAGGAGTCCCACAAAATTAAAAAAAGTGGGCAGCTGGGTCGGGAAGGCTGGAGGCCTAAGGAGCGGGACAGGGGGGAGAGCCTCGCCCCAGCGCGCCCCTCAGCCTTCCCCACCGCTGCGGGCGCGCAAAAATAACTCACTCTCCCACATCTAGTGGTTATATTATTTCCCCTCACAGCTGAGCACTGGCTTGCTAGCCAGGAAGGAGTTAAAAAGGTGCAGCCGCCACCGCCTCCACCCCCGCCCCAGTGCTGGAAAGGCAGGTATGGGACTTTTAACTCCGCCCTTTTCGGAAGGAAAACCCACTCGGGCGCCGCCGTCGCCGCCGCGGCTCGCCCTTCTGTAGCTCCGGTTCCCTCCCCTCCCGCCCTGTATAAAAGCCCCGGGCACAACTTTGCACCCACCTCAGCCTGCCTTCAGCGCCCGCCCTGCCTCTCCAGCCCGTCTCCTCCGCCGCTCGCTCGCTCCCGCCTTTTGCCCCGCAGCCTCCGCCGAAGGCGCCAAGACCAGACCCCCGAGCCACCATGAAGCGCTCCTCCGTCCGCAGCTTCAGCAGCCGCTCCTACACGGCGGCGCCGGTGAGCAGCTCCCGCATCAGCACCTCTTACGCCTCCTCCACTTATGGGGGCGGCCGGTTCGGCAGCGGCGGGAGCAGCTTCCGAGGGGCCTCCGTGGGCGTGGGCGGCGGCGTCGGCGGCATGGGGGGCATCACGGCCGTGAGCGTGAACAAGAGCCTCTTGGCGCCCCTCAACCTGGAGATCGACCCCACCATCCAGCAAGTGAGGACCAAGGAGAAGGAGGAGATCAAGACCCTCAACAACAAGTTTGCCAACCTGATTGACAAGGTGAGCGGACGGGTCTCAGCCTGAGTTTTTGAAGTGCTATGGGGCGGTATATAAGCAGCACGCTTTGTTTTTTGCTTTGATAACACCCCCAGCCCTCAAAAAAATCTTTAAACTAGTATAAGGACTGCCAGGGGAGAAAGGGAGCCAACAGGTGATGGAGAACGCCGGTTTCTCTCTTTGTACGGGGTTTTGTAAGCCATCCTCACCGCACGCAGAAAAAGCGAGCGGGTCTCTGCCCCCAAGGAGACTCCAAGCAAAAGTTATATTGGGAGAAGAGAAGGAAGGGGCGAGGAATCAAAATATGTCAAAGGATTTAAGTATGTTCCATGCCTGGCCACGGTTGGCATGGCGGGGAGGGGGGGGGGAGAAGAATCGCCAGCCCCGCCCCTTCTCGGACCGGTGCACTACACACCCCATCTGCCACACCCAGCTCAGGCTGTGGTCGGCAGCGATTATGTGTTGTAATCCAAAACGCCTGCACCACACCGGGTTGGCAAGGCAAGGAGAACCGCAAGGTCAGGTCTTAGGCAGGGGGAAAGAAACACCATGAGGAGTGAGTTGTCCAGTAGCGACGACTAAGTTTCTGCCCGTTTCCGTCCCCTGACGACTCGACTCTCCCGGGTGGAAAAAAATGGAGGCAAGGGAGGCCGCTAAGCAAAGGGGCCCGTTGAGCTGCGGAGGCCGGGCCTTGCTCGTGCAGGCGATCCAGGCGCGCAAAGTGAAGCCCGGATTTTTTTTCTCTCCCGTCCGATCGGGTTAAGGGATCCCTTTAAAACTTTAGGATGCCAAGGGCTAACAATCCCTCTGCCGCAACAAACAAAACAAAACTTTTTGTTGGCCTTCTCCGCTGCTCCCCAGGAAAGAGAGGAATCAACCCTCCGCTTGAGAGCCGTCGGGCTAGTCCGAGGAGGCGACGCTCCTCCTACAGGTGGGAGACTTTAAAGGCAGCGGCAGAACAGGGAAGGCGTCCACGGTCCATCTTTAAAAAGGAGAGGGAGAGAAATCAGTGGTTCAGAGAGCAGTGGCCAGGTGTTATCTCTTCTAGTCACTGAACCTTCAGGGCAACACCGAACCTCACCCCCACAACCCACACACCTTCGTGCACATTTTTCCAAAGAGGGAGCAGGTTCCCTCTTTTGCAAAACACTCTCCTCAAAAGTTATGAACAGTTTGTTTTACCAGCAGAAGATTCTAAAGTCTGCCGGCCCCACCCGTGGCTTGATAACCTGCATCTTTTCATCCACTTTCCTTTAACTGTTGGGGGCGGGCGGGGCTGATGCAGGATTGTGTGCTTTCTCTTCTCACATTCTCTTTGGAAGACCTTTTCTTTGGTGAAGGCCAAGTTTGCTCTGCTCTGAACTGGGTTTGAGGGTGGAACGAGGATTCTCTTGAACCCACACACTGGCTTGTAAATGTGAGCTGAAAGGGAACATCTGGATCTAATTCAGGCCTTCCCTCCATAGGTAGCACCTGGAATAAATATATCACTCATCATGGTGACCTGGGGGATTGGGAGATTTGTAATCCTGCAGAGAGTTTTCCCAAGATTCATTCACTTCTTTGGTGCAGATAGCCATCCCTCTGTTGGGAATTTGGGGGTGCTGGCCAACAGAGTTCTCCCTAGGTGTTGGGGTGGAGGGTGAGGGAAGGGCTGAGTACTTGTTTACATTAGGAGGAGGCTTCCTGTGTGTTCTACACATATCTTTGTAAAGAAACCACTCCTTGTAATTAGTGAAGAAGCTGAGTGAGTAGGAGAATAAGGTGGTGGCCCAGTGGTAACTTCTCTTCCTCCTTCTGCCCTTAAACCAGTAATCCTGCGATGTAGAAGAAAATTAATTGGGAAGAAGGTCTCGTGAGCTTCTACTTCCAAGTAGCTCACGGGACCAGGCACCCCAATGAATGGTGCAGATGGCAGCGGCTAGGAGGAGGCAAGGCAACTAGGAGAAGATGGGGGATATTGCAGCTGATTTCTCCTAAGCGTCCACTGTGGTCTAACCTTTGGGCAGACATAACAGTTAGCCACAGTCAAGGCCACTTAGGGCATGGCAGGATATTTGTCTGTGAGAGATGGGGGGTGGTGATGGGGAGGCAGCTGTCCCCTGGCTTCCCCCCCCCTAAAAATAAGAAAAGAAAGTTATGCTTTTGGGCTACAGCTTCCAAAAGCCACTGATCATGTTGGCTAGGGGATTTGGGAAGCTATATTCCCCACAGTTAACATTTGAGTTTTATCTCTCTTAGAAAGTGGAAGTGTTGTGTCTGCTCTGGACCGCTGTTGTTGAAACAGCAAGAAGTGGGGGTGGGTGGGGAAGGGAGAGAGTCCACTGTGTGGAAAGTCCCATTTCTCAAAGACCAAAGGAATCCCTTTGCATTGCCAGGAATGTAAAAGTGCTATTGACTATTTAGCAATAGAAATTTATCACAAAAAAACGGAACTGGAGCTGAAAATCAGGAGCATTAAGAGACGAAGTGAAGCACTTCCCATTTTCTCTTACTACAGCCGGTGGCAATTCCTGTAATTATTCCAGTGGAAGAGCTGGCTTCATGCAGAGTGTTATCTGATCCCAGGGGTGGGGAACCTTTGGCACACTGGGTATTTCAGGCTCCAGTTCCTACCCTCCTCTATCATTGGCCATGGCGGGTTGGGCTGCAGCTTCTGGTAGATCATTAACCGAGTTCACAGGCACAAGATGAGACAACAGCGGCCACCTCCATTGTCTGTGTTGCAGTGTTGTTACCAACCATTTGCTCGACATGTGGCAAGTTGCCTCCCTAGGTGGAGGATTTCAAAGTCTGAGGCTGAAATTGTCCCAAATTACTGGTCTGGAGCCTCCCCCAAAATCAGGTTTTTCACTTAGAGAGCAAACTTGGTGGCGTGCATGTATATCTCTCTGATGAAGCCGTGTAACACTCTGCACTCTTGCTAAAATGGGCAGGGCTGTTCATGGTTACAAACGTTGCCATACATACTCAAAGGCACACTCAAGACTGCCCGATTCGGCTTTTAGATAAATGTTCCAGGTTTAAGTCCTGAATCCTGCCTCGTTTAAGCATTGCCTACACACCATAACTGTCCCCTTTTTTGACTATTTGCAATAACTCTTAATAGATTGGAAATACATGATCCATCAGAGTCAAAGACGGGTTGTATATACCAAGCCTTCTATTAGCTTTTCCATTGAGGAACAATGGAACCACAACCCTGCTTCATCAAAATCGACTGTGGATTCAAAGAATTAGGTCTGTAGACTGTGGCTGGGTGGCTTGTCAATTAGGGCAAGTGGAGGGCTGCCCCAAATTGGCTCAGGCAAAGGCTTTCCACAGATACTTTTTATCAGAGAGAGAAACAGTCTGAATGTGTGGATGCTTGCCTCTATGCCTGCTTGTGGTTGTGGGTACTCGCAATAGACTAATGTGTCCTCATGCAGAGTTTGGAGATGAGAGAGTTTAATCTATGTGCTATTAGCAAAAGCTGCAGCTTTGCAACTGACAGCATTGGCTCATTGTGCCAAATATGGAAATCCCTTTCTGTTCTCTTCTAGGTCCGCTTCCTAGAGCAGCAGAATAAGATGCTGGATACCAAATGGAACCTCCTGCAGAACCAGAAGGTCACCCGAAGCAACATGGACAGTATGTTTGAGGCCTACATCAACAACTTGCGCCGGCAGCTGGATGGCTTAGGCCAGGAGAGGATGAGGCTGGATTCTGAGTTGGCTAACATGCAAGGCCTTGTGGAAGAATTCAAGACCAAGTGAGTGTGGGTGTGGCAGGAAGGAGGGGACCTGAATATCATCTTCCTTAATTCATTTTCCTTGGCATAAATAGCTCTAGATTAGGCACGAAAATACCTCTAAACTGATCTTTGCAACCCATTCTCTTGTCAGTTTTGTGGAAATGCTGTGTTCACCTTGGGAACTGGGTGTGGTGTTTGGCCTCCTGAAACTACTGCACTTCCTCTTCCTTCTTGTATAATTAAGAATTTCTAGCCCTCACAGATAATTCTGAATCCCACCCCTTCCTTTAATGCTGGTGGTGACTTGGGGTCCCTTTGGTTGACAAAGCCTTTGGCTGCCCTTGGGTCAGAATCATGCAAATAAAGGCCCCCCCAAATTCTTAAGGTACTTCCAAAAAGGGGGCAGATCCGGCACACCCTTGAAAGGTGTTGAGAACCACTTTTTCCTTGCTGGATTGTCTCTGGTAAGAAAAAACAGAAGAAACAATGGGAAGATTCACACTGAAGATGACCACTTCAGGTCCTCTTGTAAACTGCCGTAAATGAGGCAGCACAGTCCTGCAATAAAAGCCTTTTCTGGAGGCACCCTTAACATGGCCTATGTGCTAATGAGGTTCCCACCAAGACTACAAAACCCATGAGACGTATAGTGAATATTGTTGTCTTTTAGCTTTTTTGGGCAGCCTTTTTTCCACTTAAAAAGTTTTCAAACCTTTGTTTATAAGCTGCTTGAAAGATTGCAGAAGTGTAATAATTAAAACGGCAATAGCCTTGCACTTCAAATGAATTGGGTGTTGACTCATTGGAATGGCTCAGAGAAGGAAAGCCAGCAGGGCCCTGGTTTAGAAGGTTAGCATCGGCCAGTCACACCTCACCGCCGGCACCTCGGTTCCATGTCTGCTCTTCAGGTGAGCACATATTTGAAATACCCAAACTTGTTCTTCCTGTCCTGTGCAGGATTATTACTGCTGCAGTAGTGCAGTGTGGCTTGGGTAAACTAGCCTGCCTCACGATTGTCTATTTTAAATTGGGCTCTCACACACAAACATGCATACATACATGGAAGATAGGTATGCAATTACACTTCATAGCTGGGGTGGAAAAGTGTGGGCCTCCAGATTTTGGTCAGCAGTTCTTTCAGTCTCTTGACATTGGCCATGCGGGGTTGTAAGTCAATATATAGGATTTATTTGGAAGTTAATCCATTGGAACTCAGTGGCACTTCCTTCTCAATGGACAAGTCCAGGGTTGCTCTTTATAGGAATAGAAGGGAGACTAAAATGTGCCAACAGAGAGGTCATACTTGGTACTTTATTTCAAGCTGCTCTCTAGCTTAACCCTGAGGGGGTTGATTCTAAACTGAAATAACACATAATGATTTTTTTCCTTTTAAAGTGGCATGAGACTGTACACAGTGTTCATTAATGCTAGATATGGCAGTTGTTGGCTATATGGAAGGGGTGGAGGCCCCAGACAGTATTCCTTGGTGTGAGAATAATGCTGCATTCCTATGTACCTGGAAGTTAGCTCTGCTGAACATAAAAACATAAAAAGAGCTTTGCTTGACCAAACCAAATGCTTATCTGGTTTAGCATCCTGTTTTCCCACAGTGGACAGCCAAACACAATGGTTTCTACTCGAAACAGTATATGGGATTGTGCTATAGTGGTCCTGTATGCATCAGCTCAGAATTAAGTCCCATCATTTTCTGGTTGCCCTTAGATGGAGTCTGGCCACTTGAACAATAGCTATTGTTCAGGCTAAACCATGTTTGGTTTTATTGCAGTCTGTAAGCTAATCAGTCATGTTCCTTTCCCCGCAACAGATATGAAGATGAAATCAACCACCGTACCGAGAAAGAGAATGAGTTTGTTCTTTTGAAGAAGGTAAGTAACACGGCTGTCACGCTTTTTATCTAATGGACAAATCACGTTATTGCAGTCTGTAAGCTAATCAATTGTGTTCCTTTCCCCACAACAGATATGAAGATGAAATTAACCACCGTACCGAGAAAGAGAATGAGTTCGTTCTTTTGAAGAAAGTAAGTAACACAGTCACGCTTTTTATCTAATGGACAAATCACAGGAGAACCGTGGAGGAGTCTATAATAATGGTGGCTTAACCTTTGTTCCCTTAGGATGTGGATGAGGCCTACATGAACAAGGTTGAGCTGGAATCCCGCTTGGAATTTATGATGGAGGAGATCAACTTCTTGAGGCAGCTCTATGAGGAGGTAGGTCTCACATTTTTTTTAAAAAAAATCAGGGTCTGGCATTCTAAAACCTTTTTGCCCGATGGGAACAAGGCCAACCTGAGACATGTTGGTGCCTGAGGGGAAGAACAAGATGGCAACCATACAGTTGAAAAGCCAACCAGATGGACACTTGAATTGTACTTCAGCACTGGTGGTAGGGGCAGTCTCTTCTACCACATTGTGAGAGGAAGAGGCTAGCTTAGAGGGCTAGCTCAGAAGGACCAACCAGGTCATGTGACACATAGAGGTTGACCTTCTGTCCTCTGACCATCCCCCCAGGCTCTGCTGCCCGAGGGGGCTGCCTTGGTTTGCTTAAAAGACTGAGCAAGGGCTACATGGAGGATACCAATAAGCATTTGTGCGCAGCAACAATGGCACCTCAAGTGCCATGCAAATCATGTGTAGGAAAAAGAAATCTCCTTAATGTCTCTTTTTACTCAAAAGGCTCTTATTTGACAAGTGGTTGTCCTAGCATAAAGTCTGCAGGGAGCTTTAGCCATTCCTCAACATCATATCTTTAGGTGTGTTTTTATTCTTTTAAAGAAGACCTGTATAGAAAAAAAAAGGCACACTTGTAAAACTAATGTATCTGAGTCGGGCCTGATTTCTGTTTTTCCTAGTTTGTTTTTTTCAAACATACAGTTAGTAGAATGATAGTCTGTGAGGGAGCAATAGATCAATAATGGAATTTTCAGCACTGCTCACCAAACTACCATTCCCAGGATTCGTTTGGGGAACCTATGAAGAAAACATAGTGCATAACTGATGGAAGCTTATAGCATAGATATCCCTTTAGTTTTTTTGCCATCTGCCCCAACAGCTTCACTCATCAGAGTTTATTATGTCCAATAAAATAAAAGTTCTAGTTATAATTTATAATAATGTAGTTATGATTTATGATGATGATGCATAAACATATATTATGATTATAATGTTTCATAATTTTATAGAAGTAGAACAATTAAGGTTCATGTTTTCTTAATGCCATGTAGAGCAGCAGACGGAGTTATCATTTTGCTTGGTTGGTAAAGTTGCAAAATATCTCTTGTTTTAGCTTTCTGGGAAATGAAAGCATTCTTGCAAGACCTGGAATATTGACTGTTGCTACAGCTGGTGCTCAGTATTAGGAAAGTTTATCTTGTTAGCTTGCACAGCTGTAAGACCCTGTTAGGCAAAGTGTTTTGCTTTAGAACAAGGAAGATCAGTTAACGGAGACATTGCTTTAGCTGTCAGTCATATAACCTAAGAAATGTCAGTACAGACAAATAAGTAGAAAAAGAAGTAAACGTCAGGTCTTAACACTGAAGGAAGAAAACCTTAAGAAGAATGGCTAATGATAAAAGTCAGTAAATGTGAGCATTCACTTGTTGGATCAGTAGAAAGCTTTGTGCCAGTATGGAAGGGATTGGAGGATTGTCAAATCTCTTCTGGTTTTCTGAGAGCTGTTTGCTCGTTGACTGTGAATAATAAAAATGTTGCCATCCTCTCAATGCAGGAGCTGCGTGTTATGCAGTCTCAGATCAATGACACTTCTGTGGTCCTGTCCATGGACAACAATCGTAGCCTGGACTTGGATGGCATCATTGCTGAGGTCAAGGCCCAGTATGAAGAAATTGCTGCCAAGAGCAGGGCTGAGGCAGAGAGTATGTACCAGACCAAGGTGAGTCCACTCCTTTGACACCTCATTTTCTAATGGAGATTGACTGCTTATAGGTTGTTCCTCTTTTGGAAAGGGCATCAGGAGCAAACAAACTGTCTTCTGTGTTTGTTCAGTTTCTTTTTATTGGTGACCATGAATTTTATCTGGTTAGAAATGACGTCTCTGTGAAAGTCTCTAAGCAGCATATGAACAAAGAATTGCAGATGATGCATTTAGTAGATTGAAACAAGTCAATAAATCACACAATACAGAGAAAGGATGCACTGTTATAAAGCCTTCACAAGCCTTGGACACACCCATAGTGTGCTATTGTCACAGTGCCACAGATGCAAAACTCAGGTTTTATAAAGAGAAGAGGAAAGAATAGATCAAAATGACTGAAGAATATAGCATCGGGCATCATCAGACATAACTAAAACAGCAGGACTACTACCAGTTTGTGGTGCCCTCTTAGTAGCATACTCTTTTTGTCCCAGTCATATAGTAAATGGATAGACTGTTCATAATTTGTTGGATGAACAGATGGTGATCATCTGGTGCTTGGGGTGTATGGGGCCTTGATATACTGGATAAATTGGAAGCTTGCCATATTTGGAGAGGGGTGGGGGATGAATTAACTCTTGGCACCCGAACAGGGCCTGGTCAGTGGTCCCATTCAAGATTTCTGAGTTGGGTGAGTGGGAGAGACATGAAAATCTCTCTTTGAAACTCTGGGGACATGTATCCAGGATAATTGTTTTCCTGTCAATTTATACTGAAAATTATGGGAGTTCCTGGGAATCCATATAATCTTTTGCCCCCCTCCCTCCCCTCCACAAGACAAGCAATCAATAGATTGCAGAGGGTAGGGAGAAAGGAGATTCACATCACCCAACTCCTGCACCCTGAGATGTGTGTGTGTGTCTTGTGTATAAACGTGTGACCTCCAACCCATACTGGTTGTGGACTCAGAGCCAATAAAGTTGTGAAGCAATCAATAATGCTGGAAATGTGGAGGTTGTGGAAGAGAGGTACTATTTGGTACCCAGGATGTTGGCGATCATCAGAACTTGGCACACTGCCCTTTTGTTCAGCAGTCAGACTGTGTATTATCTCAGTGATGGCAGTCCTATACTATTGTTGTTTTCATACTGGTGATGAGGGAGAGTGGAGCAGACAAGCGATATAACTTGCTTAAGGCTGTGAAGTAAGCCAGGTGAGATTTATTTGTCATTTTGCGGCATGTGACTCACTCATATTCTTAACCACTGCAAAATGCCAACTCATACTGCCAACTCACAGGCTTGGGAAACAGCCTGTGTGGCTTATTGACCTCATTTGTATTGCATTTTCCCCTGAGAGTTTTGAAGGCTGATCCTATCATTTCCTTACAGCAGCTCCACTGAGGCAGGTGAGGCTGATGGAGACTTGGCTACCATTTTCACAGTTTGATTCTTCCTTAGGCAGGAATTGTAGTCTAGAGTTTCTACTTTGCCAAGTTCAACACTTGTGTTGAAGAAGTTGCCTTCTCCTTGTGTTCAACATGTGCTGGCTTGGGGATTCTAGGAGTTGTAATCCAAAAGAGCTACTTTTCCGAGCGATGGTAGGGTTCTACATCTGTTTCCAGTCCAGAGAAGAACGTGGCCCTCCAGATGTTGCTGAAAACCAGTTACCCTCAGCCCAAACCACCCTTGTCTGTGATGAAGCATGATGGCTGTAGTAAATCATCAACTTCTGGATGGCTGTTGGTCCCCCGCCTCTGATCTTGTTTGCGTAGTTAAGGAGAGAAAGGGCAGAAGCAACGACGCAACTATGGGTTTGAATGTCTGCAAAGATATTAATTTGTCACACTGTAATTATCTGTCTCCAGTCTTGGCTGTCAGCCATGGAAGCGGCAAGGTTTTCCCTAGGTATGTATTAACATTTGTCTCCTTTCTCTCTCTCTCTGCGTAGTATGAAGAGCTCCAGACTGTGGCAGGCAGGCATGGAGATGACCTCCGCAACACCAAAAACGAAATCAATGAGCTGAACAGGATGATTAGCCGGATACAGTCAGAAATCGACGGTCTGAAAGGCCAGGTCAGGAGGCTGAAGGCAACTCAGATTTGGGGGAGAGCATGTGTCATAACAGATGTAGCTCTTTCTGTGCAGAAAGCACCCTTCTCTAATCAGATGAGTCTAAGACAGCTTCCTACCCCACAGAATTTACATCTGTGCTTTGGATAGTGGCGAAGAAAAGGAGGGAAGGCATCGGGGTCACAATGGAGACAAAGGATGGGACGGGCAAAGTTAGCGAAAGTTGCATTATGAGCTCATTGGGATTAACAAACTGAGTTTCCTTTGGTTTTGAGGTGTATTTTTTAAGTTGAGCCTCTTTTCCAAGATAGCTAAGACATAATTACCTTTTAAAATGAGAAACATCCATACTGTAAATAAGATCCAGCTGGCAATTTTTTTAAAAAAGCAATGGCATCTGATGCAAAACCCCAAGACTGTGGTTTATAGTCTTGTCTGGGGCCTACATAGTTACCCTTAAGGCCCTAGCTGTGAATTATAGGTATGCTAGCCCACCATGAACAAATCCCACCCTCATCTCTTTCACCTATTACCCCCACACACACACACACCTGAAATGCTGGTGTCAGTCACTATCTCCCACTTCACTGTGACTCCCAACATGGGTTTTGTGATGACAAAATAGTTGGAGGTGAGGAATCCCTTAGTGCCTGTTTGGAGAAAAGATGGGATATAAATGTAGCAGGTCTCTGTATAAGGTTTTCATATTCAAGAGCTGCTCCTGCTGCTCAGATACGGCTCTTGTGTAGGAGGATGGGAGTCCTCCTCTGCCACTGATTCCCTCTCTGAGATGGGCTATAGGCTAGCCCAGAGGATCAATACAGTAGGACCCCCATATCTGGGGGGGGGGGAAGGATATAAATTCCACAATCTACCATGGATACCTGAAACTGCAGTTCTACCAGTCCTGTGGATACAGGGGTCCTACTATAACTTGGCATAATTTATGGTCATTCTGTAAGTCACAGGATGGGTAAGGATGCTACAGCCCTCCCCTCACTATCCCAAATTACTGAAACTGGCACAGACTGCGGAACTCAGAAAAGTTACTTTTTGTAAGAAGCAACGCTGGCTGAAGTCTTAGTTGCGGGGCTTGGAAAAACCACTGGCTGGAGGATTCCGGGGGCTGCCCCAGAATTCTCCAGCCAGTGGTTTTTCCGAGCCCTGCAACTAAGACTTCAGCTAGTGCTGCTTCTTTTTAGTCTCTGTTTTCTGCCCCTGCCTCCCCCCCCCCGGCACATCTTACACGTACCAGAGATCTTTGGACGCTCTTCTTTTCCTCAGCGCGCAAACTTGGAAGCTGCCATTGCTGAAGCGGAGGAGCGTGGAGAGCTGGCTGTGAAGGATGCCTCCAACAAACTGGCCGAGCTGGAGAGCGCCCTGCAGAGAGCCAAGCAGGACATGGCCCGTCAGCTGCGGGAGTACCAGGAGCTGATGAATGTCAAGCTGGCCCTGGATATAGAGATTGCCACTTACAGGAAGCTGCTGGAAGGAGAGGAGAGCAGGTGAGTGCCCCGTTGGGTAGTGGAGCCCTCTTAGTAGACGCAGCAGTTCAGCTTGCTTGCACATGGGAGATGGACTGGGCTGTGAACCCTCTGGGGGTTGACTGTAGTCTTGGGCTGAAACCCAGCTCCTAGTCTCAGCCAGTATAGGCCCATGGGGAACTTCATGAGTTCATATGTTTATAAGTGCTATTGAATCAGTAGGTCTACTTGTGTTACAACTAGCATTGGATTCAGGCCTCTGAGTTGTTCTTTGGTACTGATTTGGTTTTTCTCCCATTTTTTTCCCTTGCTGACCAGGCTGGAATCAGGAATGCAGAACCTGAGCATTCAGACCAAAACAACTGGCTACTCAGGTAAGCCCATGTAGCTGCACATTATTGGAAGAGCGGCACATACTTCTTTGGGCTTACATCCCTCCCTTCTCCCAGGACTTGGGCTGGAATTCATAAAGTCAGAAGCTACATTCCCTCTCAACTGCGCACCTGCACTGAGCTCCATTGGGCCTGTGCACCGGCAGCAAGCATTGCCACCCGTTTAGTTCTTGTTTCAGCTGTGTTGCGCATGCATGTGGTGGGGCTCTTGCACAGTGGGGCCGAAAATTAGAGGGACCTAATTTGGTCACAAGGCTGTGCTTGAGCTGAGAGAGAGAGAGCATAGTTCCACTCCTGGCACCCACTATCCCAGCTCCAAAAGGCTCCTTGGCTTTCATCATCTGCAGAACAGGCAGGAGTTTCAACAAAAGGGACTCCTTCGTTGTATATCCCCTGTAGAACTTCTTTCTGTCATGCCGTTGTTAAAGTCTCAGAAGTCCTACCGGGCTGAAAACATACATATGAAAAATGCATACAGTATATCAAAACCGAAGTGCAGTGGGAAAAGTAACAAAATGCCAAAACATGGAAAGAAAATCATTGTATCAGTTTGCGTGAAGATGGTGCTACAATTTGGAATAAATTACAGTACCTTTTTCTTTTTAGCAAGTTCAGAATCCCCTCTGCTACAGTTTGTCAAATGATAGGAACAAAAACAAATCAACAACAACAACTCTTTCTTTTTAGCAAGTTTAGAATCTCCTCTGCTACAGTTTGTCAAATAATAGGAACAAAAACAAATCAACAACAACAAGAACAAAAAATCAACAGAAGATAACTTAGCGCTGTGGCCTGACTGACATCATCCCAGGGGACAAGTTAAAGGGCATTATCAACAGTTGCAGCACTACTGTTTTCCAGATTTTTGTTAGACTACACCTGTCCAACACCCCAACTGGCATTACCAATAGTTGGGGATGATAAGATTTCTCAGCCAAACAGGGAGATTCTGGACCTTGGTAGTCTAAACCTAACCTCCTCATGTTCTGGTCAGCTTGGCTGTGTTGCTCACACTTCTGAAAGCAATGAAGGAAAAACAGAGGAGTATCTTCTTTGTTCTTAAACTAAGCGTGCCTTTAATTTTGATTGGGGAAGGGAACAGAGTCTGGACGGTCAAAAGCTGGAAAATGCTGGTCTGTCTCTTAGTTGGTGTTTTCCATCTTCTCCAGGTGGTCTCAGCAGTGGATTCGGTGGTTTTGGGGGAGGCTACAGCTCATACTCGAGTGGCGGATACTCCCTGAATTCTTCCCCTCTGGAGAGCTCCGTAATCACAAAGTCAAAAGCCATTGTCATCAAGAAGATCGAGACCCGGGATGGGAAGCTGGTGTCCGAATCCTCAGATGTGGTGTCCAACTGAGCGCCTCTCTTCTCCCAGAAGGAGGAACCTCTGACAATTCCAAGTGCCTTAATCCAATGAGCCTTCTTTAATCTGTTTTAGATGGGTCAAAAACAGGAGAGCGGGCAAGGGAGGGGGGATGGTGGAAAAACTACCTCCTGCTCTCACTTGATTTGTGCTAGAGTATTATAGGGGACCCTGTGGCCCTTTAGATGTTGCTGGACTACAACTCCCATCAGCCCAACCATAGGCATGCTGGCTGGGGCTGATAGGAATTGAAGCCCAATCCCATCTGGAGAGCCTTTGTTTCCTCAGAGCCACTCTGGGTCATGAGATAATTACAAAATACTGTTATGCCAGTTACTCTGTATCTGTCCCGCACCTTAGTCATCATTCTTCGGTGACTAATTATATGCTGGAATTAGGATATTTTTAGGATATTTTTTAAATTCACTGCCCTCCTACCCCAAAAGGTCATTTTCCTCTTGATACCTCCTTGGGCTTGTGGGTGATCCCTGTTTGGCTACCCAAGGATCAACACTCAAAAGAACTGAGTGTGAGATTAGCGTGTATCATAAGTGGGTATCATGATGTTTTCTAGAATTTGCCGCACTTCCCTTCCAACCTCACTCACGGGTCAGGCTGGCTGGGATTGATTCAACCAGTGCATCAGAAACACTGGTGACGGGGTGGAGGCACAGTTACAAAGCCTAGTGTACCAGATTCCCAGCACTGCTCTTTTCTTGCTTTGGTTTCCTCCCCTCTTTATAGAAATAAACTGATTTGTGTCAAATCTTCAGCTATAAATCTCTCTCAACTCTGAGACATGTTGGTTTCCTGTCAAGAACTTGGGTTGCCAGTTTGTCCCAAGAGGAGCGAGAAAGTGCTAAGACTGCTCTGGCATCTTTAATCTCTTAAATGGTAGGGAAAAACTGTAGGCAAAACTTTTTCTTGGATACCACAGATATAAAAATGTCCTCCTAACAGGTGATTGAGGTCAGGTGGAAATGCATTTCATGCATCAAATACCCTACAGAGGAAAGAGACAAGACAACCATTTTGTAAGCTAAAGTGTTGGCCTGAGTGAGATCATTTAAAGTGATCCTGCTCCTTCCTCCACATTTAAATGAGAGGCATTTGTGTATTAGTGGAAAGCCCAAAATCTGACAGGTGATCTTTCCTGCCTTGTAGGAATATTATTCTGTGCAGACTCTATGGCCTGAAGAAGAAAGGAAAATTTAAGAATTGTGTTTGTTACTGCTAATCTCACTGGGGACTCTCAGAAGCCTCTTCGGGACCCCAAAGAGGGGTTGGATAGACACCCTCTCCGGCCCCACTCCCCACTAGTTTTGTTGGCCATGTTTTTGTCAGCACTCTGTTTAGGCAGCATCCTTCATGGGTTAATAGGAATGAACTGATTTCCTTCATCATATAACATCAGCACCTTAACATGAACTTGAAAGTTTCCAAGAACTCATCTTCACCTGTGAGCCTAACCAAACTTTCCCTTTTGGCCCTTCCCTGTTCAATTGGCTCTGGTGAAACCATGATTTCCCAAAATATTTGGTTAAAGGAGCCTGTTGAAAATAAGCTGCAATTCGTAAGCTGGGCGGGTGAACCTTCAGTGGCAATCCAGATGTTTTGGATGAGAGTTTCCACGGTCCTTTATCTAGAGCAGTGGCTCTCAACATTAGATAACCCAGATGTTCTTAGACAGATGTTCCCAGATGCCCACTACCCCATATGCTGACTGATGTTTCTGGCAGTTGGTCTAAGAACACCTAGGTTACCAAAGGCTGAGGACCACTGGACTACAGTGCCAAAGGTTAATCACCCCTGTTATAGTGAGCTTGTGACAAGTGGAAACATTCAGTTTTAATATCTTGAGGGGAAAAACCTTGAGTCAAAATTTTTGAAAGCACAAAAAGTGAAAGTGATTCATGAATTTTCTTGTCCTTGTAAAGCATGATTTGCTTAGATCGCTATATTCAGTAGGACTACCTTGCAGGTAGAGGGTGCTTAACACTAGTCTGTTCTTGTACACAATGGGTGGAAAACCTTTGGGCCTCCAGATGTTTTGGAATACAAGTCCCATCAATTGGTTCCCATGCTGGGTGAGCCAAAACATCTGGAGGACCCAAAGTTCCCTACCTTAAGTAGAGGTGAATCAATATTGATTGCTATGGGATCACATGCTTCTGGTGTTTGTTTGAAAGGCTTCCCTGATGCCTTTCTTCCACCTCTTGCTGCAACTCAGTGTGGAATGTCGTACTTATGTCAGAAATTCAACTCTTAACTAAAGCTGTGAACAGAACTTCTGTGCTGAAGGATGTAGAAATGAAGCCACATTTTTCCTCTTCCAGGAACACAAAGCAAAACGATCTGTGAATTCTCTTTTAAAAACTCTTATTTGTTCTCCCTCTAATTTGAAATAAAAAAAAGCTTTGCCTCCAATGTTGTTCTTTTGCGGAAATACCTATTTTTGTTTTGGCCGCTCTGGTGTGACAGAGGTTGCACTTAAACATGAGAGAAAACATTGAGCCGGAGCCTCCTGAAAAAAAGGTTTTGAGAGAAGGTGACTTGTTTTCCTCACCAAAAATAAGCACCCACCAGCCTGAGTAAACGTGTGTTTGCTCAAAAATGGATCCGGTTATCTCGGGTGCGGGCAACAGTTGGCACTCAAGATGCTGGCATACTGCAAGTCTGCCTGAGGTAGCCTAAAGTGGGATTTGTAGCATTCCAGTATCAACATACTCCCTGTCCCTGTGCTATGGTCTTCAAAATACATATGCATATGCTTATCACCTTACAAGGCATTTATGTGCACATTTACCTGGAGCTGAGTCCTGTTGGGATTTGCTCCTGTACATGTACAGGGCAGTGTTGTTGTTTAGTCATTAAGTCGTATCCAACTCTTCGTGACCCCATGGACCAGAGCACGCCAGGCCCTCCTGTCTTGCACAGCTACCTAGAGTTTGGTCAAATTCATGTTGGTTGCTTCGGTGACACTGTCCAACCATCTCATCCTTTCTCATCCCCTTCTCCCCTTGCCTTCACACTTTCCCAACATCGGGGACTTTTCCAAGGAGTCTTCTCATGAGATGGCCAAAGTATTGGAGCCTCAGCTTCAGGATCTGTCTTTCCAGTGAGCATTCAGGGTTGATTTCCTTCAGAATTGATAGGTTTCTTCTCTTTGCAGTCCAGGGGACTCTCAAGAGGCTCAAGGGCAGTGTAGCTAGAGTTTATTCTTGGTTATGGACTTCTAAAACAAATATCGGTGACCTCAATCAACCTTTGATACCTGTGTGTGTTCTTTGTGTTATGTGCTGTTGAATTAGAACACACTTATAGTTACCCTAATACGGCTTTCAAGGTGAGTAAAATATTTAAAGAGTGGTTTTATCAGTTCCACCACCGCCAAAAGTTTCTACGGCCGACTGGAGATTTGCATCCCCAGTCGATTTGCCACTCAGCCATGGAGGTACTAGTACTGAGTACTATTACTTCATTTACCTAACCAAATATCTTCACCTCAGTATTATTCTCAGAGTAATAGGAACCATAATACTATTGAAGTATGCTTACAAAGCTGAAAATTTATTGGAATGTTATTTGGCAGGAAGTGGGGAACTGTGACCCTCCAGCCAGCAAGTTCCCTAGAACTGTTGAGAGTTATAGTCCACGAATATTTAGAGGACTACGCATTTCCCTCCCCTGGTCTACAATCTTAATTTTGTCCCGGGAGGCTTGGGTTTAGGACCTGAGAACGATCAATCATTTATGCAAACAGCTTTCTTACCTAATCAAGAAGTCCACATGCAAGGAATGGGAGACTCTGAAACTGGCCACTGCCTCTGTGAAAGAGTCACTATCCCGGCCAAATAAAAATAAGGATCGGAGGTCCAGCCAGCCTTTTACAGTTTTAGTAACTGGGGGTGGGGATGGAGATCCCTTGTGTCTTTATCCCAAAAACCTAGGTGTAAATACTTGAATACCTGCAATAGGTCACAGTGAATAATACCCACTGTTGGCACTGTCCATATCCAAATTATGCTGTAGGTCTCATAGCCCCAAAATTGGGCCTAACGGGCACATTTCTGCCCCTACCACCTCAAAATGCTTTGTTATTACCTGAGGCCTATGAAGAATTTTGAACAACTTAAAAGCTTCAGTTGATGTGTATGAGAATGTTGGGTCCCTAATAAGGTATTATTCACCTTTATCACTTATTATACTCTAGTCAAGGTGTCGTATAGCTGGAGATTGGGAATTTGAAAACTTCATAAAGTTCCTCAAGGGAATTTGAACTGAGCCGCCCAAAGCCCTAGAAAGGGAATCTTGGCAAATAATGGCGATTTACAAAATGAACCCCCACTTCTCTACGCGCCATACATCGCATGCACAGCAACAGAGTAGGCCTGGACTATTTTTTTGCAGATGGAGCATCACACCAGTGGCAAGAGATTTTAGCAACCTGACTTCCCTTTGTTGTGGAAACATCTCTCCTGTCTTATCAGAAATGGGTTGGTTCTCCAGGCAGCGAAGACAATTCAATTCAATTCAATTCAATGTTCTATTATCAGATCTGTTTTGCCCGTTTCTTTATCTGTGTATCTACACTTGATGTTTTGCTCTTGGCTCAGTCAGGGTATCCCCTACCCAAGCTTTCCAGCACAAAGAGTAGACAAACCCCAGAGATCTCGAGAACACATGGCACCCCCCCCCTTGGAAACTTTGGAGGCCATAATCTGCTCCTGGGATACCCAATTGTTTCTTACAATTTCTTTTTAAACTTAAAAATATTCAATCTTCTAGTGGTCAAAGATAGTTATTACTGAAAATATATTCTAGGTGACTGGCTGCCTGACTGGGTATTTTTAAATTGATGATTGTATCTTACTGCCTTGTATGTGTTTTGGAGTTGCTTATATTGTCTTAGTATGACATTTACATGGTCCTTTTTAGTATTTGTACACTCACAGTTGCTAGCTTTAATATTGGTTTTTAATATTGTAAGCCACCTTGGGTCCTTTTAAGGAGAAAGGCAGGGTAAAAATATTTTACAACAAACGAATAAATGTGTAGGTTACCCCAAGAGCCCCGAGAAAATCAGAAACATGCCCCCCCGTGGTCCCTAAAAAGCACAAGGAAACTCTGAGCCAAAATCTCTGGCTCACTTCATGGTTCACTGTAAAGCCAGTGGGCTCTTTAAAGTGTTTCATGGCACTGAGGAAAAGGGGCAGTTTCCCAAAGTTCTCCATAATGTATACACACACACATATACAGTATATACATACCATGTAAACATAGCAGTCTGAGATGTTTCTATTTCATATTGATTACTATCTTTTTTTAGTCTGTGCAGAGATGATCTAGCACTAAACTAGTATGTCACTGTAGCAATAAGGTGATTTAGTATAAACTCATCAGTTTTCCGTGCCATATCAATGCTATCTGAGAATCATGTATACTTTGTTAATAAAACTGAAGATACAATTAATGTTTAATACCCAGTTATCACCCTGGTGTAAGTGTAGAGTGTCATTTTGGCACATGTCTCTAGCCCCAATATCAACACTCACATTGGTTAAAAATGAGGTTGGATAACAAAATATTACAATATCAGAGAAGAGGGAACCTTCAGGTCCTCTAGGACTCTTCATCAGGCTGAGTATTATAGAGTTAGAGGTAAGGAAGAGAAACAGAAAAGTCCAAAAATAATCCCAGCTACAGTTCCAATGTAGGACTAAAAGTTCCAAGATTAAGACAGTGAATTTGGAAGAATCAGCTTGAGCTGTGACTGCCTGGGGCTTCACCTCATTCTCTGTCTGTATAAATGTACTACCTGAGAAGAAATGACAGGTTACCCACCTTTAATTGTAGTTCTTCGAGTGGACCTCTGTGATTCACACATTGTGTGATTTGCACCTGTAAGGAGCCTCACTGGAAGAGTCTAGAGCTTCTGCGGTAGCAATGAATGCATTAGAATATGCCCCTCCCCACCCATATAAGTACTTTGGCACCAAGTGTCCCTTTTCAGTTGTGTCAACCGCCGCTTAATAGTAAACAAACAATGGTGCGACAGAGGGGAGGACGGGCGGGATGTTTGACTCACAGAGGTCCACTTGAAGAACTACAATTACAGGTGGGTAACCTGTTGTTCTTCTTTGTGGCCTCTGTGAATCACACCCTGGGTGACTAATAAGCTGTCTTACCCAGAGGCAGGGTGTCACGCCATGGTAGAGGCTAGAACAGCATGTCCAAATGCCACGTCAGACTTCTGTTAGGGGTCGAGTCTATAATGACGGATAAACGTGGACGGCTGTCTGCACCTCTGCCAAGTGGCAGAGGCGCAGACATCCGGAAGAGGTATGCCATGGAAAAAAAGTGGTGACGATTAATCTCACGGGACGATTAATCTGCAAGACAACTGTTTTTTGCGATCGCTGTTGTGCTTCGCAAGACAATGTTTTCTATAGACGATTTTCAGAGGACGACGATGTTTCCCCATTGGAACACATTAAATAGATTTCAATGCATTCCAATGGGAAACCGCGTTCCGTAAGACATTGTTTTCTATGGACGATTTTTGCAAGACGATGATTTTTCCATTGGAACGCATTAAATAGATTTCAATGCATTCCAATGGGGAACCGCGTTTCACAAAACAATGTTTTCACAAGACAGCATTTTTCGCGGAACGAGTTAACATTGTCTTGCGAGACACCACTGTACTTCTTTTCCTCCTCTGTCCCCCACCTGCATGGCCAGTCTGATGGGCCACTCTGAAGATTTAAATACTTTAAAATATATTTATGTAGTACAGTAACCTACCTAACCCTGGTTACAAATTTTGTTTCTATACCACACAATTTTTTTTAAGGTTTACATTTGCATAAGAGAATACCCATGTGACTGGAAACAACCACAAGTCTTGTGAATCCCAAGGGTTTGAAGGGGCAAGAATAACATTTGAGGTACCCTAAAATGGCCTCTACTCCTCTCGTGCAGCTGTTCACAGCTCCTCTCCACCCGCCTGGTCCTGACCAAAGCCTGCGAGACCAAGTTTCACTCATCATGTCCATTCCAGACAATTGTGTCCACTAAGGGTCTTTTGTTTATCCTTTTTGTTCCCCTCATCTCATTTCTGAGTCATTTTCCTGCCACCCATACGTCAATCCACATCCTACAGGAACAAGCAGTTCTGCAGCGTGCCATCCATATCCCACCTCTTGCCATAAATATTTACAAATTAAGAAGATGATGTGGAAAATATGGAAGCATTTATTGCACATTGGACATTTAAATTAAAAACAGTAACCCAGTCTTTGCTAGGAGGGACACACGGCAGCAGCCTCCTAATTTCTTTCTCTCCTCCTTCTTTTTATTAAAGTGGCATCTGAAAAATAAAATCTCTAGCAGTTTCCGGAGATCAGTGCGAAGACCGTCGGCAAGTCCGGGCCGACACCGGCTGATGGCTTGGCTTCCTAACGCGGCAAATCTTTGGCATTGCAGGAGCATCTGGCTTTCCCAGCTTAAGTCTCTGTCCCAGGTCATCCCCCAGGATCCTCTGCTCTGGCCAGTGGAGGAGAAGCTGAACTCAGGAAGCGATTGTGCTTTTCTTTCTTTCTTTCTTTCCTCCTTTCCTTTATTCCTTCCTGCCTTCCAGCCAAGCTATGGCCTTTCCAAGGAGACTGGCAGCTTGGAGACTGTCTGGTACAGCACCTCCTTCCTCACCAATGGACGGAACAGACAGCTTGACAGAGGGGGCCTGAGAACAGGCCAGCACCGGCCGCACCAGCGGCTTCAAGTATTCCCTTTGGCTGGGAGTGAGTGCCTGCCGCAAACCCAGTCAAGGCACAACGTGTTTGTAGGATCGGAGCCCCAGGGAACGGAGGGGGGGGAAGAAGGGAGGGCGCTGAGCCTCAAAAGCCTGGATCCTCCTTCATGGTGAGGCAGAGGTGCCTCGCACGCTGGTCTCTCTGCATCAGTCCGTCGGGGTCCAGCATCTGCGGCATGGCCCTTCTTTGCCCTTCTGGTGTTGGCTGTGCTCGCCTCCCCACCGTGCGTGGCAAGGCAATCCCTCCTGGGTGCCTCTTTGCAGGGCAGCAACAACAACACACCTCTGCGGAGGGCAAGGCTGGGCATGCTAGGCCTCTGAAGCGGCCTGTGGTTTCAGCTGGGCCTTCTCCATAGCGGTGCCATAAGGAAGTGAGCGCTTGAAAAAGCCCAGCTGGGAAGGAAGCGGAGAGAGAAAGGTCAGGATCCAAGATATACCAAAGCCACTCGGACATTTTCTGAGGCAAATCCCATTACAAAGAACAGGCATTGTGGAGTTGCCCATCTATATCTTGATCAAGTCCTTGCACTTCAATGGCATGGGAAAGCAAAATGTGCTGCTTCTAGACCACCCCATAGTGCTTCAAGCTTTCTCTGGGCAGTTTACAATTGAATTAGGCAGGCTACGCACGAAAGGCATTCCCAGAAGAGTTTACCTGAAACAGTTCAGTAGCACCTTTGTTCATTTATCCATACAATCCTCTGGCTAATCTCACGACTAACTTACTTCATTTTACTGATGCTCTCTTCTGGTTTTCCGACAGATCACCAAATCTCTAAGGAGCAGAAAGTCCCCCAAATTAAAAACAAAGACTCTGGAATCTGATTTGTTCATGTGATCTCATGAGAGCAATCCCACGAGTGTCCCTCCCCAGCAGCCTCTCCTTGGTGTGATCGCTTGTGTGCTGGTGGTAAATGCAGGTGCGTAACCACTCACATCACTGACCTAGTTTCTAACTGCCTACAGGAAGGGAAAAACTATGAGCCTTGTGGCGCAGTGGTTAAACTGCCGTACTGCAGCCAAAACTGTGATCACAACCTGGGGCTCAACCCCAGGTAGCGGCTTAAGGTTGACTCAGCCTTCTATCCTTCCGAGGTCGAGGTCGGTAAAATGAGTACTCAGTCACTGGGGGGGCAATGTGTAGCCTGCATAATTAACTTGTAAACCGCCCAGAGAGTGCTTGAAGCACTATGGGGCGGTATATAAGCAGCAATCTTCTTTTCTTTTTGCTTTGTATGATGACTCTCAACTGATTTTGACCAGAGGCTCAGGGTTTTAAATGAGGCAAAGAAACTGTGAAAAGACTTGAGCTATATGTAATTCCTTCCCTAATAATACTGCAGTCAGAACAAATCATGAAAATTAAGCACACTTAAGGCTAATTTACAAGCACTTTATATCACTCATGAATTGCTCTCTTTGCATATTACAGTTTTAGGTCTATGACTAAATTGTTATATACGAATTTAAAAGGTTCATGTATGGAAATAAACAGATCACAGAAACATAATTGTTTCTCTTCTTTGTTGCATTTTTAAATGGCTTGTAAACTGTTTTAATTTAGTGTTTTTTAAATTCTGGCAGCTCATTTAAATGCATCTTAATTCTACAATTTATTGGCTGAAATCCAGTTGTTCAGCATAGTATGTTGCAACTAAAACAGGCCCACTGAATCAGTGGGGACTTGATGAGTCAACAGCTATGTAAGTTCTACTGATTCAGTAGGCCTACTCTAGTTCCAACTTGCTACTAATTTTCAGTCATCATCTTTTTAAGCCCTATTTGTTTTAATACCTGTAGTGAATTGCCTTAATTCATGTACTGGAAGTGTTGTAAGATCGAAACAAAACAAAACAGTCAAAGAACATCTGTTGTATGTCTCTCTAGAGTGTGCAGATGATGGCAAATATGGATGTACCTTGATTCCTCATGCAAAGTATTTACTGGGGGCAAGGCTAGAAAAGAACAAGGAATTGGCCTTGCTCACCCCAATATTGGCCTTGAAGTTCTGCAAATCTCCCACCAGGCTCCTCAGATCTCATTATTCCCCTTATTCTTTCCCATTTTAACCATAAGGTCTTTAAAAATACTTTAAAAAAAAGATTCTCAGTGAAGGCTGGCAGAGACAATGTTTTAGTTGCAACATACTAATGGGAGGATCTTGCCTCAACCATTCCTATTGACATGCACTGTCCTCATGCAGTCCTGGTTGCATCTGTCCCTTCCAAGGTTCTAGCTCTTCACAATCAAACACACTTGCCACACATTTCCTCCCTACCACCACTATCAACAGGTGTCCCCAGAGGGCTCCCCACCTTGTATAATACATAGATGAGCAGTGCCAGGAGCAGCAGTCCAATCAGAATGGCTAAGATGATGATCCAGAGAGGAACCCCTTGGCTGGTCTCTGCCTTTGCCCAATGAAGCGATGTCGACACCTGTGGCAAAAAGGAAGAAAGAATAAGGCCCGTGATAGACCGTAAGCAATCAGGGAGCCAGGCATGCCCTCTTGCAGATTTCAAAAGGGAGCCCACTGGAATGTCCTGACAGGTCTTGAGATTACCTTTTATCCTGGGAGGCTTTAAGCTAAATAGGCTATCTGGGCAAAGAGATCAAGAAGGCTAGAGCTCCCACATATCCATGCTTCCCAACAAGTGGTAAGCAGAGGCATACCAACGCCAATGATGGCCATTGTGACTAGAAGATAACCTTGGCCTAAATCTAACTGCCAGTTGCAGGAACAGCAGACTCAATGAATGACCTGTTGGTATTTGTGCAAGGCTGGCATGAATGGCCATTGGTAATTCTGGCTAACTGATGAGGTGCTGGGACACACCCTGGTAACATACCTGGTTGTGGGCCTCACTATGCATCTAAGATGTTCCATGGCACTTTGTCAGGTAGCCACAACTAGTCACAGCATGTTATGCAAACTGTACATTAACACCAATAGGATTTCAACTGCTGAGTGATGTGCCAGCACTTGGGGAAATCCCAGTGATTCAATGCCAAGACCAGCAACTGAGTTTAGTTTGTATGGCCTGATCACCTTTTAGATTTGCCTTTATATTAGCAACCATCAGTACAGCATGTGACAGTGAGTTCCACAATTTGACAGTGTCCTGTATGATGATGTACTCCTTTTGTCTATCCTGAATCTTCCGCCATGCAGTTTCAGTAGAAGGCCTTCACTTCTAGTGCAAGAGGGAGAAAAGCTTCTGCTCATAAAAATATGCATTTCTCATCCACGCTGGAAAAGGACACATTTTTCTACACTTCTGTCATGCTTGCCTTTGTTTGCCCTTGTTTCCCAAGCCAAACAGCCCCAAATAATTAGCCCATTTTCATGAAGCTCCAATCTACTCATCAAATTGGCTACCCCTTTTTCCCGTTTTTCCGGCCCTGTAATATCCTTCTTTCTTTTGTCCTGTACAACTTTAAACCCCCCCCCCTTTTTTACAGTTTTCTTTTTAAAAGGCACCAAACCTGTATCTAAGCTAGCTCATCCCTGCCCTTCCCAGCAACAACTCCATGGAAAGGCAATTCTGATGGTATGCTCTAATTTCTCCATGACGACTTCTTGTGGTTTTAGAATGCACTTCGATATTCCTTTGCACGAAAGGCAGGATACTGCTCATATAGCTACTACTGTTCCTGCTACCAATGGTAAATCAGCACTGACCTTGTGGTGGGCAGAGGTGTGCTCTAAAGGCTGAATCTTGTAGGGCACTTTCTGCACATGGTATACTGCTTCACACTGAACACTCTGGGGATTGTTTTCTTTCTGCAAGGAAGAAAAGTGGAGAGAAGGGAAGCTGAAGGATGGCACCACATAGCGGCTAAGATGGACAACTCTGCCTGGTGGGTTATGAACCCCAAGAACCTTAAGTCCAACAGACTCCTCATGTGCCCAAGGCCACACTTTGCACAAAAGCAGATGCTCTCGCCCATCCTAAATCAATGCAAAAGCGCAATATTATTTAACTGCGGCACCTGTTCTATTACATTTGCGTGATATCTGTTTGTAAAGGTCAAAGCCCTTCAGCTTATTTGATGCATTCCCACAATCCTTTATTCCTTTTCATTTCATCCACTACAACGTGGAGATCAGTAAAGCCTGGAAGGACAGCCAGATGTACATGCATGTGTGTGAAAGAGGAAGTGTGTGCGTGTGTGTGAGAGAGAGACAGACAGAGAGAGAAAGAAAGAGAGGACGATGAAGAAGTTGATGATCTTAAAAGGATCACTACCACATACCTTTTTCTCTCTTAATCTTAAGAAAGAGAAAAAAAGAAAAGTAGAAGAGGGGAGAGAGGATAACTGTAAATAAGAGAAAGAACCATTTGTAATGCTTGGGCACTATTCACGAGTGGCATACAGCCAGCAAGAGAGAACTTCCCAGGAAAAGCCATCCTGGCAGAAAAAGCAGTCCTCCTCCTGGTGCAGGCCAGCCTTACCTTCCTACAGAACAGCGCTTCTAGCTGGAGGAGAAGCCAGCTGACTCTACTCTGCCTCACCCAGAGCTGATTCGGGGGGGGGGGGGAATAGACAGACAGGGCAGGCTCTGCTGCCCGGAGGGAAATTGGGCCACCCTTTACAAAGATGGCAGCTGCAGGTTCCCTTAGGGTAGCGTAGTCTGCCCTGTTTGCCTATGGCCTGCAGACCAGCTGTTCAGCAGGCTCATAAGCAGGGAGGGAAGGGCTAGGGTGCTGGAACAGAAATATTCTAGCAGCCTAGCCCTTCCCTCTCTGCCTATGGGGATGAATAAAAATGGGCAAATATTCATCCTTTTGTATTTGTTGGGGTTTCCAAAATTTATGAATACAAAGGGACGGATAGTTGACGAATCCACGTTTTCTTACAAATATCGTAATTCTTTTTTAAAATTATTCATTCCTAAGTCTAAGTTAACTTTCTCCATCTGTACATCATCTCATGGGGATCCATTAGTCCAGGCCACAAAGGGAAGAACCCACCCAAGTGGAGCAAGGAATTCCACGGAGGACTTTCAGACACTAGGCAGGCTCTGAGCTTACCTGCTGGAAGCTCTTGGACCAGATGCGGAAATAGAGGCGCAAGCTGACACTTTCTTGCCGTTGTAGCGCCCCCGTGTGGCAGCGTAGCTGGAAACACTCCTCCTCGGTACATTTCTGCAGCACAAGAAGAAACAGCTATCTAAAAAGTGCCTGGAACTAAAATCACCCAAAGAGCCTAGTTGTGTTCTCTTCTGAAAACTGAATCAGAGGCACAGCAAGTGCCTGAACCTCACTGTACTTCAGGGAGCTGAAACCCCAAAGATAAAGCTCAGCAATTCTGGGTTTAAATTCTTGTTTGCCCTGGGTGACACTGGTCAAGTCGCTATCCCTAAGCTACATCTGGGAAAGAAACTAGACTTGGAAACAAGTTGAAAGGCTGTACACAATGTCTATCTTGAAAGTAATTGTATAAAACAATTCATAAGAATAAGGTAAAGCCACTGTGTGAAGGAAGAAAGGTGTCAGAGCAACCCTGCCTAACCCGGTGCCCTCCAGATGGGCTGGACTACCTCCCTAACATCATCCCCTGGGAGACGACACTAAAAAGAATATTGCCTGGTGCTGATGGTGGTTCTGGGCTTACCAGACTAAAGCTGTTCCCACCGGACCCGCTGCTCCAGCCTCCTCCATCTTGTTTCTGCACATAATGCGGCTCCTGCCAGGGAAAAGGGGTTGGTGGCTGCTCCAGCTAGACATCAGAGGAGGGAATGAAAAGAGAGAGAACACATTGTTTTTAGCATCTTTGTAAATAAGTTCTCAATATATGCTGGTTTAGCTTGCTGGCTTACTTGGGCACACATACTTATCTCAGCCATTGGTGACTATTTGCTTTAAAAAAACCCCACATAAATATTTGTCCGTAAACTGAGGATTTGTGCTTGAGGTATTTACTTTACTTTCATCAAGTAAAATGGTAAGTCCCTTCTTTTAACGCCAGTTTTGTCTGGCTTACATAAAAAGGCAGAAGCTTCTTAATGGCAACATTCCCTTCCTGGATGTCTGTCCCTAGATGGAATTAGGCTTCTGGCCTCCAGCTCCCAGCAAGGGCCAGGGGCAATCCGCTCTGGGGACACCACAGGCTGTTTGACTAGGGTGGTACACTTGTCAAATGGCAAGGCTGGCAGTGTGTTACATGGATTTATCACCCGCTCCCTGTTTCATAGATGAATGGGGCGAAGGAGTGAAACAACAAATAGGAGTGTCAACCTGCACTGAGGGGAGAGTTGTAGCTCAGCTCCCCCTCCATCATCACACTGAAAGCAGAAACGGATCTGTCAGAAGGGGAGGCTGATGTAGCTAAGCTACCTCTTCACACCAGCCCAAATTCTCTAAAACTGGGGTTCTCACACACATGAAGAAGCCACGGAGGAATTGCAGCCTCCAGTCAGTCACATTTTGGTGTTGAACACAATGAGGGAGGGCGTGAGGCTACCACACTTCCTTTAATGCATGTGTGCCCCACACGTCTGTTTAAAAACTGAATAGGACAATGGGCAATGCATAAATTAAAATGTAGGAAAAGGCCGTGTGGTCCTAAGATTACACAAATGGAAGAGTTGGTGATACCTTTTATTGGACTGCTAAAAAAATAAAATAAAAATCAAACTGCAAGCATCTGTGGAGAAGATTCCACTTCATTGCGCTAAGAACTACCACTCCATGGATCATGCAGAAAACATGTAGGACAAGCACCCAAAAATTGATGGTAGATGTCTGTGCCAAGTCTGTTCAGAAAAGCAATATCAGACTCAGGTTCAAATGTTATCGGGGGTGGGTGGGGTGGGGTTGTGATCTCAAGATTCATCCCTTGTAATGTAGCTGGAATTTTGCACCCCACTTTAAGACCTAAAGGTGACTCTGACTGCCTTCCCACACACCCAGATTGCCTGTTTACATTTGTTTAAAGTAAAGTGGTCAGGACTAACTAATTAAGGTATTGCAATTAGCATGCCTCACCAACATCACTGGATGCGATACATGGATCAATCCCCTCTCCCCCAAAATTAGGTCAGTATAAAAACAACACGAACATATTCACGCAACATGGTAAAAATAAACCGCCAGGCCTAAGGCACATGGTGCGTCTCAATCAGTTTAGGTAATCAGAATGCATGAGTGCAAAAATAAGTCAAGTCCCAGTGAAATCTTTTTGCCATTGCATCCAGTGATTCTGGAGAGTCACACATTGGCCTCTACTTAATTAGACATACTCCAACCAATTCCATTTATGTACGGTCCTCGATTTTATTGTCTATAAGTTGTGAAAGACTCACAATGTTGCATCCTGCAGAGTGAAATTGAGTTAGCCCAATTAAAATGAAGTTATGACCTCCTTCCTCTGGATTTTTACTCTGGACTATTAAATGAACCTGTACTTTGTTACTGACAGTATCACAGATGGAGCGCCACTCTCAGGACTCACCCCAGGACAATTCCATCAAATCCCATCCCTTCCCTTCCCATCCCACGGCTCAGCTTTTACCTGGAGGCGTGATGGGTTGACGGGATGGCTGGAGGTACAATTTGCTGCGATCATGTAGCGTGTCACGTACATCACTGCTCGCCCTTGCATTCGGAGTGGACAGCTGATGTCTAAGATGCCCTCGCTAATGGCACTTGGTCCCTCATTCACAAACTGTAAGACAAAGGGAGTGGGTGGGGAGACGATCAGAGGAACATGGGAAGCGGCCTCATCTTTATGTTGCCCACACAGTTCAGGGGTCCCCACTCTGCCCTAGTGGTGACTCTCCAGGGCCTACAGCAAAAAAAAGAGGTCTTTCCTATCACCGGCAGGTCAGCTCTGGCTAACTGGACAGGCCACAGATGGAACAGTAGACCTTTTCCCTGTGAAACAGGCACTCTGCAAATGAATCACCTTTATAATTCCCTTCAAATAAATGACAGCCATCTCATGAAGGGAAAGAGCAGTAAAAAGATGTTGGGCCAGGCACAGGGTCTGCAGGAAAAGAAAGCAAGACCTACTAGCAATGGTTTTCAAGGGTGACCAGAAAGCTGCTTCCGTAAAGCAACCCACAAAAGCCACCTGCTCTTCCCTGCCATTGGCCACTCGGTAATCCATAACCAGAGATCCAGGGCCTCTGAACCTGAGGTCGTTTTCAGCTAACATGTCTGTCAAAAGAAAGTGCATGAAACCTGCCTGACCTGACCATCATTGCGTGATACGTGTCAGAATGAAACAAACCTGTTTCCATGAAATTTGCCTGATGGTCTATGTATATACAGTACCCCCCCCACACACATATAGGAACAGGGGACAGTGTCTATGCTATAGCTTGCTTGCATTCACCTAGCGGTACCCACCTCATAGACATGGCATACGCCGGGGCCCACATCTTGTTCTCGCTGCACTGATCGACCCGGGACCCATCCAGACCCTGGAAGAGACACTGCATCTGGCATAGAAGCCCTGCAGGAGGTGCAGAAAAAGCAGCTTAGGTAAACAGAAACAACTGACTTTTTTTAAAAAAAAGAGACTATTAGAAATAGCTTTTAAATCACTGATCAAAGCCCACATAAGAGGCACTGGAAAGAAGGTGGGCACAGCAGTGTATTTTACTGTAGTGTTTGCAGGTTTTATTTGTTTGTTTGTCTGTTTGTTAAATCTCTTCAATCATTCCAAAACTGAAATCCTTTTCCTAGCTGACTTCTTGTCAGTAACAACTAAGGACGTTCTCACCATTTGGCATTAGTCTTATTTCTTTGATGGGAAAAACCAAAGTTCTGGAAAATGGATAAGATTGGGCAAGGTAGAGAAAAAGCTGAATCTGGTATAAGGCACCTTTCTACTGCATGAAACTAAACTCATATTTTTATTTTTCCATATCATTGTATTACATCTAATATTAAAAAGTCTGTGACTTCCTGACTGAAGCCTGATCCAAACCCGGGGAATTAGGTCTTATCTGCTGAAAAGGCTTTCGGGACAATGGAAGTGGTTTGTCTCAACCACACCAAGTCAATGCTACATTAGAGTCAATGTTTACTTAAGCTGGAGGCTCCTTCAAGTGGACTTGATCTTATCACCTGTGGAAGAGAAGTCATTTATTCGTCCTTGCAAAAGATGTTCTCCTGTCTGGTTGAGGACTCACGGCATTCTTTGAGACGCCACTGGACTCTGAAGCTGGAACTATTAAAAGGATTCAGGAGGATTGCTAGGAGAGGTCCCTGTCTCAACTTAATTCTGAGTCAGGGTCTCAACTTTTGACCTGTGAACCAATGTGTACATATTGTGCTCAGGGATTTGCTAACAAATCCCCAAAGCTCACAACTGACTTAGGACTTCAACTCCCACTTGCCCAATTGTCCCTTGTCTCCGCTGCAGCAAAAGCCTCCAGTCAAAGTCAACCTATCTGTGCTGTCTAAAGCTGCTCCTGCCGGACGGACAACCTGTTTGTAGTTCCATAAGAAAGGGGGAAATGGGCTTGTGGGAGGAAAGCCTGCAAGAGCCCAGCCTTCTTCAACTTGGCACCCTCTGGAGGTGTTGGACTACAACTTCCACCATCCTTTCCTATCAGTCAAGACATCTGAGCCCCAGAAACAAAGACATCGGAGGGGGAGGCGTTTGTAGGGTTGTGAGAAAGTCCCCCCCCCATACTTTCAAGTAGCATCAGATGTGCCCATTCAGAAGGAATGGAGAGACATGAAAAGCAAAGAGAGTGACCCCCTTCCCCTGTAGCACAAGAAAGATCTAACATACCTGAGGGGGTATCTGGAAAACAGATCATTTGCCCTTTAGTAAAGCGACAGATACATTTTTTCCTTACTTCTCCACTCATCCTTCTCTCTCTCTCCCAATTCTTTCCCTCCGCCTTTCTCTCTCCTTCTCCCTCCAGCTAACCCCGGGAAAATATTGTGAGGAGAGCCTAAACTTCTTTCCCTCTGTCTTTCTCTCGTTCTCCCTCCAGCCACTCCTGGGAAAATATTGTGAGGAGAGCCTAAACTTTCTCCTTGACCCTATTATCACAGCAGCTGGAACTCTCTTCATGTAGCTAAGCTTGGGAAGGCTGATAATGTCATCATCAGCCAGGGTGATTTTTTTTTTGGACAGTATTTTCTTCCCATTTTTTTCCTGGAAGCCCCCAAAGCTCCTGTGGATGATTTCTGGTTATGGGAAAAGTCTTTAGTTGCCTAAACTCACTATCTCTGGGATGATTTGACTGGCAATAATGATTTTAGAAACTTAAAAATGGCTCCACCCCCTCCCAAAGGCCTCCTCAGCTTCTCCATAATAAAAGGGATTCCAGAGGAGCCCCAAGACCTCCCTGGGTGGGGTGGGGTGGGAGGTATCAGAAGTTTTTCTTCCTGAAAAACCATGGCCACCCACCTTCTGCAGTGTAACTGGCAACAGGATTTTGGCCATTAAATTTCATGAGGATTGTGGCTGAAACAAAGTCGAGTGTCCAGCTGTTACATGACACTATTACCTTAGCCCCAGGCTTAGATATACATACCTGGGAAGAAGACAGAGGTGTATGGCAGGATTATGCCCACCTGCCTTGTTCCTAAGTCTGCTTCACCTCAGAGGTATTATTCCAAGGAATGGACAGGGGCCTGCACAACTGGTGCCCTTCTCCCCACCTTCCTCTGCCACTGGTTTGAAGATTAAGGGTTACACACTGGATTCTCTGTGAGAACTGCCTGAAACAGGTATCTACCGTTTCCATTTATACCTTTGCAGTGGACAGGGTTCTCCCTCACTTAACAAATCTGTGAGGTGGACCTAACAGCCTAAGGGAAAAAAATAACTGGTTCAAGGTTACTCAAGGAGCTTCATGGCCATGTCATGTAAGGCCAGAGTGGAATATCCAAGCCAGGGGGTGTGACCAGCAGGCACATTTACAGAGGCTTTTGCCTCATGACACCTCCCATAATTCTTACTGGCCAAAAAGTAACATTTCCAAGCTTTTTTTATTGAGGTCCCTGAGATATTCTTATTAGTGAAGCAGCAGCAGTAGCAACAGTCAAGGCAGTTTATTCCTGCTACCAGACTCACCCGTGGGCTGAAATACGAAGGGCCGCCTCGACACGCAGAGGAAAGAACACCACCTCGCTGTGGGAGTTGTTTGCATTCTTGCTGTGGAGAAAAGGTCCTGGTTACACTTCACTGTTAGGGGTTCATAAAGCAAGCACCATGGAGGAAAGAAGACGCGCGGAACACCAAGGTCCATCGAACCCCATGACTCTATCCACGCTTGGCCGCTCTGAATGTGTGCAGGAGCTGCTGCCACCTTTCCACCTTCTCTCCAAGACATAAAGTGTTCAGAGCACTTCCTGTCTCTGATGCCTTTCCAGAGATGCCTTTCCAGAAGGCCTGGGAATCATCAACATCAACATCTATTCCTCGTTTTGCCTTGTGGCCTCAAGGGATTTATGCCTTAAACCTAAAGTGGGGCTAAATCTGTCATTCATCTGTCAGAAGATCAATAATGGCACACATATTAATTAGGTCCATCCACTTCCAAACCGGCCAGTGTTATTTGGGGGGGGAATCTTCTTCAGGCAGGTAAGAGAGAGTCATGTGGAGGGGAGCAAATTGCTTTGGGGGGGGACACTCGCATTCTTACCTGTGAATCTGGAAGTCAAATTGGATGGATTTCTTAGCATCAACGAGGCGAGGCACAGTGAAGCGCAGGCCACCCCACAGCTAGAAGAGATAGAGGAAGTGTGTGGGGATGAGTGTAGATGCTCCTTCCCTGTTCGTTACCTCTCCTCAGTCAACATGGGAGCACGTTGTGGTGAGGGAAAAAGCGACAAGCCTGCCTCTGAAGTTGGTGTCACCTTAGATCAGGGGTTCCCAACCTTGGGTAACCCAGGTGTTCTTAGACTAAAACCTCTATAAGCCTTCACCATCAGTTCTCCTAGCCAGGATTTATGGGGTTACAGTCCAAGAACACCCGGGTTACCCAAGGTTGGGAACCTACCGGCCTTAAGCTTACAGCTTCTAGAGGGTCATGACATGACTCAGAAAGGACGAGCAGGAAAAGTCCTCTTTTCTCCTGTCACTGGGATATGAAACTCCCTCACAAATACTTTCTCGCAGGATCTCTGGAGGTTGCTATACCCCGGGAGCTCTCAACTGTACAAATCAGGTGCACACTTAACCTAGCAGCTTGTGAGAAATAAATTACTCAATGAAAGGAGAGGCTGCCTGTCATCTCTCTACATGATTTACTGCTGTGACAATGTGTCCTTAATTTAAAACTACCTCCTCTCATCGGTCACAATGCTGGTTGCATCACTTAACCACTCTTAGTGCAGAAGCACAGAGGCCTTCTCTTCCCTGAGAGGAAGCTTCATGTTTGGGCTCCACAGGAGGTCCTGGGTCTAAGGGAACACTTCCTTCCTATCAGAAGGCATGTCCAATTCTAGGATTTGTGCCAAGAATGGAAAAGATGGGCATATTCAAAACTGGCTTCATTTTTAATGACCCAGGAAAGAAGTCCATAAGATTTCCAATGATTAGCTAGCATAAAGATTAATTGTTGTGGGAGAGGGAGTGTGATGTCCAATTCTAGGATTTGTGCCAAGAATGGAAAAGATGGGCATATTCAAAACTGGGACCCAGGAAAGAAGTCCATAAGATTTCCAATGTTTTTAACTCATAAAGATTAATTGTTGTGGGAGAGGGAGTGTGAATCAGTTGTTGGAAGTTTGATCTTTATACAGGGAGGAACCATTGAATGGTATGTTTTCCACAGGGACACCTGCCTACCTCCACTCAGTTGGGAGGAACCATTGAATGGTACGTTTTCCACAGGGACACCTGCCTACCTCCAATACTGTATGTCAGGGATGGGAAATGGGTGGTTCCTTCAGATGAGCATTCCATTAGCTTCTTTACATTTATTTTATGGCAAAGTGGGGCAGGCATTTACAATAATAAACAAAGACAGAAATGCAAGGGTGGGCTAATATCAGCCATGCATATGACAGCAAGCATCCCCACATATTCACCATGAACCAAGCCTTTGGCAGTGTAAGAACAAACAAAACCCTATGACTTCTGGCTGTTACAAAAGCATGTGGTCCAATATCATTTAAGGTGGGGCAGAGCCTTCTTTACCAAATCTAAAATATTTGCAAACAAGTTGGGTAGATGACCTGGGACATGCAAGATTAGCTAGCCCTTCCTGAGATGGATGATCCCCAATGGTAGGTGACATCACAGTTGTGTAAGTGTGTGAATGTCCCCCCAAATGTCAGTTTACCCCCTCTTCAGTTGATGGATTCGAGTGGTTACTTGAAGGAGAAGTACCTTTCTTGTCCTCTCTCTCTCTCTCTCTCTCTCTCTCTCACACACACACACACACACACACACACACACACACACACACACACACACACGGGTTTTGCCCCCTCTGTACTCTCAATATTTTTTCTATTGCAGTCATTTCCCTCACTTTGATCACCACCTCTCAAGAATACAGAGGATGTATCCCATATTTTACCACTCAGCTCCCCAAAATCAACCATCTTAAGGTGCCTTGGTCCAACTTAGCTTTTTCTCCTACCAGCCTTCTCAATGGGAATCATTATACACACCATCCCTGTCCATGATCAAGATTGCTTCCATCGCAGCTGGATATTGCTGCTTTATTTTAGGGCTTACGTTACATGAGGGTGGGCTCTCGCACTGTACCCCAAGTGTCTGGGAGTTGACTCTCCTAGCCCCCAAATCCCTGACCTAACACAAATACCCCAGCTCAAACACTTACGCTAATGCCCGCCTTCATTGGGTTGCCAAGGTCACAGATGACCATGTTGGTTTCGTTCACTGTGTCGTAGTTGCAGCTCTGGCCGGACAGGTTCTAGATGGAAAGACAAAGAAAAGCTAAGATTACAAAGAGAAGTAGCAGCTTCCTTTTTATTCCGCAAAACAAGTGTGGAAGAAGAGGGGACTGTAGGTGGAAGCATCTTTCTGACTCCGCCCATTTGCGATTCCTAGAGACTTCCACACAGGGCAGCAAAAGGCAAGAAGAGCACAGGACCACTAAGAAACCTAAGCAGGTCAAGCGCTGGCATTTTTTCTCCATCTAAAAAACTCTGGGAGTGATAGTTCTGGAGGAGATAAGGAGCCAAGGAAATGAGAATGATGGCAGTAGCTGGAGTCTTCTAACACCGAATTCCCAGAACCCTTACTGTCGGGGTTGGTCAGCCACTTGATTCAGAAAAAGAAATCCTACTTGTCTCATCATGGGAGTTCCTGCTGGAACTGGAAGACTGTGTGATGAGGAGGGAACCAAGCAGAGCATGCCAGCTTGTGAGTGGGGAAGCTGGCCAGGGGTGGGTGGGAGGGTGGAATGCTGAGGACATATAAAATGACCTGGCATGAAGCGATTCATGCCCATCTCTAATAAATACGCTCTGATTGTTGGAAATACAACACGTAGTCATGTGATCTATTCATGGAAGCAGAGTTCTGGAAATGGCAACGTTATATATGCTGGCTCTTCTAACCAAACCAGACCACTAAAAAGTTACAAAGGAGGCAGGCTGCCCAGTTAAGAGAGAATAAGGAAGGGATGGCTGACCAGAATGAGAGAGAAAAGAGAAGGAAGGTTTCTTCAAAGATGGGCAGGGTTGGATCAAGGTATTTTGCAACCTAAAATGAAGGAGAAAATGGTACCTCCTTTCCATTTCTAATACAGTAGCCCTCTGAACTTCCACTGCACTTGAAAGACTGGTCTAGTTTGTCATAGCAGGTCCTGCCACAAATAGGCACAAGAGCCATGCTGTGGGCCCTGCACAGTTCTGCCCTCCAACAGACAGGGAGCGTTGAGAGCTCAGGAGGGGAGGGGGAAGGGAGGAGCGCAGTTCCCCCCCTCAAGGGCATTGCCTCACTCTCACTAATAACACGACCAGTCCTGAACGTGGACCTAACTTCCTGCGATTGTTGTGTTGCTTTTAATTTTTTTTTTAAAAAAAATCAGATTTTGCTACCTGATTAACTAGCAGCACTTTAAAATAATCAAAGGAGATCTAACCAATTACATACTCACTTCTTTACTATATTTATCACCCTCAGGATCCTTGTTAGGAAAGGCCATGACAGTTACAACTACAACACCAGTATCACTCCCTAATAAAAGTACACCTACAAATGGTTTAAGCCATGAGGGCTAGCACATTTTTTTGGTAGATGATACCTGCATGATTTGTCAAACATAGATGGAAAAGTGGATTTCCATAAGAGGTGAATAACAGAAAGTTGCAACTTTAAAAATATACGGTGGCCAGAATCTTACTGGTGTCTGAGTAAGATGTGAGTAGCTTTGCATAGCCTAACTGCAGCTAAGTTACAGGAGTGGTGGGATGCATCTCAGCTGCACAATTGGGTCCAGGGGTCAGGCATGCAACTGAGATGGCACCCCCTCCCCACACGCATCAATTACATAGCTACAACTGCCATAACAAATAACCCAAACCTTACAGGAACGTAAGATTCTGACCAGCACAGCACCCAGGAAACTACGCAAAACTCAGGAATCTAAATCCCATGTCAGAAAGGAGATCTGTCCCAGGATCAGCATTCCTGTTTAAGGGAGCCTACATTTCCAGTTAGCAGTACGCAAGGCCAATGGTTCTGGGAGGGCAGGGGATATTTTGGGAGGGCAGGGGATGTCACCTACCCCATGGTTCCGTAACACTCCGATGTAGTCTGCCTCAGGTGGGATTATAACATGGAGTTCAGCCTCGTAGGCACCCCCTTCTCCGCGGTTCTGTGCGTGGAACGAGAGGTTCAGCGCATTCTTGTCTCCTAGGTAAACGACGGAGTGGTCCCTGCAAAGGGTCCAACCCCAAAGAGAGCACTCATCAGGGTGGCCGACCTCAGGGCCAAGATTCAGGCCAGCCATTCAGAGGGAGTAAAAACAGATTCCAACACCATCCCTCTCCTTTTCAGGCAACACAAACTTTGGGCCTTTTCCATGCAAGAAGTGTGTGTTGGTGTAAGCATAAAACCATTCTAGTGCCCATGGATGAGAAGGTCTTCAATTTCTCTCCCACATTCCACTACAGAATAACATGTGGGTCAAAGAGCACTGCAGAGTTCCAAATGTGTTTTATTTCCAGTTTCGTGTGTAAAAATGCACTGTGCCTTCGGTGCATCTATATCTACACCCATTTCACAAGTTACGTGAAATGGATCCGCACAGTTTGGCAATTGTATCAGATACAAATCCCTGAGCATTCATTTTGTCTCCCATTAGCGTGTATTGCTATAAGAACTGTGAGAGATAAATCTGAAGAATAACCATCACAAACACAGCTAAAATCCCCTAAACCTGGTCATTTTGTTGTGTTTCTCTCAACCACTTAATTGTTTCACTCTCAGATAAGGACAGCTAGACTCCCTGCTGCTTTAAATTGAAACTCTGCCAAGGCTTCCAAAGAGGAAACTGTGCTAGGAAAAGACATGATCCGGTGGATCTTTATGGAACCTCAGGGACACCGGAAGCCATGTTATACCGAGACAGGCTATAGCTCACATTGCATAAACCAATTAGCAAGCAATCTGTCAGGCTTCAACAGAATTTTTTCTTAGCTCTCACCAGAGATGCCCAGGATAAAAACCTGGGACTTTTACTGTGCAAAGCTTTAGGTTTGTTAATTATTCTGGACTCTTGTGTTTCCATTTCAAAAAGTAGGGCAACCAAAATGCCAGTGCAGTAAGTAAGGCTTTAACTATGAAAGGTGTCTATAGGTATGCATATACTTATAACAGCACACATGCATAAGAGATAAATACGCAGTTAAAGAGGTAGACTTTACTAGCAAGGGAAAAAGATGATTTGACGAAGGGAGATGGGCACTGCTGGGGATGATACGTATGGCTATGTTCAACCCCTAACTCCCCAAATGTAAAACCTTCATATATACCCTACATAAGAGGATGCAAGGGGTTGGTGGGAGGGAACATCTACCTAGATTTTCTCGGTGGTGGATATCAAGGGAGTATTCATTCATTCATTCATTCATTCATTCATTCATTCATTCATTCATTCATTCATTCATTCATTCATTCATTCATTCATACCCCGCCCATCTGGTCTACAAGTGGCATGCAATTGCCTGGCTTCACCTCTGCTTATGGCTCAACAGAGAAAGTAAAGGGACAATCTTACCCCAAAACTTCAAGCTGGAGGTCAGGGACACAGACGTTGTCTTCACCACAATCAAGCTGTATCTGAGCCTAGTGAACAAGGACACCAGATATGAGCCAGATTCAACTCTTAGCTTAATCTTTATACACACACACACACACATCCGATTGATATTTCAGTAGCCCATTGCCAATGTCACTTTCTCTTTTCCTATCCCCCATGTTTTCTGGGTAAATAAACAAGGAGCCAAACAATCATGTTCCAGATGTTTAAGGAAGTGGTCAGTAACCCACAAAAACGTAAGTTGAAATAGATCAGTTAATCACAAGATGCTACAGCTCTTTGGATTTTACTTTTATTTTGCATGCTAAAAGAGGCTAACGCAGCTACTCTGTTGAAATTGCAACAAATGAGGTCTGCCCTTCAAAGACTCTTTCCTAGTAATAATAGAAGGCACATAAAATGTCGTTGAATGTGAGCAATACGAACCCCAAAGCAATGTTTTCTCCCTTGCTTTTGCAAGTCCCTGCCCATTAAAATCCTGTTCCTTTCTGCAATGCTTCTTGAGGCCTCAGAAAAGAAAGAAAATATTCCTAAGGAAAGAATGAAGGCAGCCTGTAGCTGATATAAACAAAGTGCTTTAAAAAAAAAAATCAGTGTGCAGATCTGAGGTTTTGGACTACAAGTCCAGAAGACCCCAGGCAGCAAGACCAGTGCTGACTTCTGGGAAATGTAGTCCAAAATATTGACTTCCACAACTCTGAAGCCCATTCTGAAGACTTCTGGGAATTGTAGTCCAAAAATGTTGACTTCCACAACTCTGAAGCCCATTCTGGGATCTTTCTCTCTTCATAACCCTGCCCCTATGAGGTAGGTTAGTTGAGAGTAGCCCTGAGCCTGCCCTGCTCCCTCTTCTTACAAAAGTAGAGACATGGAAAAATCTGAATCTGCGTTTCAGCACCATGCCGTTCATTATGCTGTCAGAAGACACTGGACCACAACTCCCATGATCACTCCTCATTGCTGGCTGGGGCTGATGGTAGTTACAGTCTAAGAATGTTTGGAGAACCACCCTTGGCTTAACCTGCCAGAGCATGGTCTCCAGCAGAAGGGCAAGTGAAAGGCCACACTGGGGTTAAAAAACAAAAGCAAAAGCAAAGCAAAGCGTGCTGCTTATATACCCCCCCATAGTGCTTCAAGCACTCTCTGGGCGGTTTACAAGTTAATTATGCAGGCTACACATTGACCCCCCCCCCCCAGTGAGCTGGGTACTCATTTTACCGACCTTGGAAGGATAGAAGGCTGAGTGAACCTTGAGCCGGTTACCTGGGATTGAACCATGGGTCATGAGCACAGTTTTGGCTGCAGTAGAATGGTTTAACCACTGCGCCATGAAGCAACATGTCAAAGAACAGGAGGAGGGTCACTGGAAAGTGCCCTCTATTCAGTCAGGCTGTGGGTTCCTCTAGCCCAGGATTGCCCACTCTAATTGACAGCAGTGGCTCTTCAGTGTTTTAGGGAGGATTTTTAGGCAGTCCTCTCTGGAGATTGTGGGTACTCCCTGATGGTGTTCCTGTGAGCTTCAGAAACCAAAGGGGATTGTGGGTGTTCAGAGTGGGATGATTTCCTTGCATTCCCCCAACCCCTCCCCAACACTCATGCCATTGTTTGATGGCAGCTGCACCAAGGATGCAAGGAAGTCCTTCTGAATCTACCAATCCACCACCCTTTTCACAGAACGCTAATCCACGTGGCTGGCTGGCTCAGCCTTACTGGAGAATCCCCCACCCTGACTTCTTCCGATACCTTTTGTTCAATGTGGTTGCGCGTGAGGTAGTTGAGGATGGGTTGCAGGCCATGCGAGTCCGACGGGGCCTCTGGATCCAGAGAGAAGTTGAGCGACAGGTGGATGGGGGAGAGCTTGTCACGGAATTCTGACTCACCCTGGGCGGGAAAAGAGAGGGGAAGGTTTGGAAACCAAGTGGGTGAAAGCCAGGCCTGCTCCAGAGAGCCCCCTCCCCCCCACGATGCTCCTCTGGTTCCTCAGGACCATGCAGAGAACTGAAACCAAGCTGTATAGCCAATCACAACCTGGCTGCAGTAATGTTACAATATCCAGAATGCCAGTTGATGTATGCCAATCTATGTATTGCTATTCTCAAAAAAGCTTCCTGCATAGCTATGCAAATGGCAGAACTTTGGGAGGGGAAATGATGAAAGTTTTATAAATCCCTGTAGGGATTATCAGTTCCACACTGGATCACACAATTCCATGATTTCTTAACTTCAGGCTCTGTTACGCCGTTTGTGTTATATCAATGTAACTAGGCAAAAAGTTTTGGGCAAACTGTATATTAAACAATTATTTTATTTATGTATTTATTTATTTTATTAGATGTATACCCCGCCCATGTAGACAAATAGTCTGGGCGGCAGCCTACAAACAACATAGTAAAGATAAAGGTTCCCCGTGACATTTAGTCCAGTCGTGTCCGACTCTAGGGCGCGGTGCTCATCCCCATCTCCAAGCCGTAGCGCCAGCGTTTGTCTGAAGACAGTTCCCATGGTCACGTGGCCAGCACAACTAGACACGGAACACCATGGAACGCCTTTACCTTCCTCTGTTCTATTTCTTCACAGGTTTGCCATTTTAAAAAATCTAGACAAAGGTGTATCTCTATTTTCCTGTTCCAAAAACACTAAAGCCAACAACAGAGAGAGTCACGTGGTCCTTTACATAACATGAATATCATTACTTAGACCACTAAAAATCAAACATTCAGCACGAGCCTTCATAAGTAAAATTCAGGGATGCACCACTATCTTGTAAAGAGTGCAGAAAAGTTATAAATGAACGCTCCAAAATGTTTCACGGCAGAAGCCTACCAGGTATACTTCTTAAACTGAGCTCAAAGCTGGTTTCAACTAGTTCAGGTGTGCATGTGTTTAAATGTTTCATTCCAGGTACCATGTAGTTGGAATTTTCATGTGTCTTTTTCCTAGCATATACTTTTGCATGCTCTTTTCCTAATGCATACATTTTTGCAAATAGTTTCCTTAAACGTAACACATTTTGGGCATGCTTCTTTTAACATAGGCATTTTTCACTATTATATGCACTTTCTGTACATTTGCCCATTACATGTCCCTGTTTATAATTGTGAGGTTTCTTTCAAAATTTAGAGGAGTCTGAATATTGCTGTATTACCACAGTCCCGTTCACGCACAGGTTCATCAAGTGCAAACTCGGTATGTTTGCATCAAAAAGGAAGGTGGACAAACTTGTCACCCATCCTTAGCTTAGAAGCTCAGCATTTCAGGGGTGCTCATTTCACACATTTTTGAGTGAAGGAAATGGTAAAAATGCAATAAGTAAAGTTAAAGTTCAGAAGTTAAATGGCTGCTCCATTTGGAACAACGTGCAAATCTAAAACAACATATGTTGTTAAAATGCTTCTCATTCTGGGGATGACCCTCCCAAAGAGAGAGAGAGAGAAAAAAGCAAGAATGCATGGGCATAGCTTCGCAACTTACCCTGAGGTAGATCTTCATCTCACGGCATTCAGAGCTGGCGCCATTGCGGAGTTGGAGAGTCTGGACCAGATGGGGCTCCTGGGAACGCAGGAAAAGTGCCCGCTTCACTGCCCCTTTGTGCTTGAGACGGTCAAGGTGCAGTTCCACAGTGAACCCTGCCCAGGTGAGAAGGAAGGTAGTGCCCGTCAAAATTCAATAATGCCACCACCTGGAACTCTCCAACAATCCAGGTCATGCTCTTCCCCATTGCCTACTATCCAAGATTCAGTTCTTAAAATATTGAGAAGCCAAGGCTTAGACCTGGATGTGATATAGGATAGGTCCCAGATTCCCACTTAGCTATGATCCTTCCCACGTGTCACATTTCATCTGAATCTCTGAGATCTTTAGGGACTGGTAAGGTCTAGACAGCAACTTCTCACTGTAGTGCTGAATGCATTAAAACATAGACGAAACCAACACAGCAGGACCTCCTAATGCTGGTGTGACTTTTCCAGAGAAGCTGCCTGCTACAGCACAGCGCCGGCCCTACCCGGCAGTCTTAAGAGTGAGCTCTTAAGTTTGTACATGAGCAACACATTACTCAGAGGTGGGTCAGGGCCAGCAGAAATATAGGACAAAATGGGATTTTATGGACTCCTTATGTCCAGTAGTGCAGTGGGGAATTTGGAAATGCAGGCGCTCCTCGTGACCGTCCCCACAGCCAACCAGCTGCCTAATAATAATAATAACAAGAACAACAATGCATCTTTTTGTTTTTTAAGATTGCTATCTCTACCTGAGTCACCATTTGGGGCAAAAAGGTAGTGAACTGAAGTGATGGAGATGACTTTTGTGTGAGGCTGTGTAAAGTGAGGAAGATTTGCACAGTGTTAGCCTCACTCTTTCTCCCCACTGCCCATCATAATCCAGTGACAAGATTAAGACAGGTTGACTGAAGATACTTCATAAAGAGAGTCCAAAAGCAGAGACTCTGCTAGACTCTAAGACAGCTTCCTCCAGAGAGCCTTGAGGGGCAGGGAAAAGTGGACCAGACCGTCAGCTGCCAAAGGGGGATTCCTCAAGAGAAGGATCACCCTCTGACACAGATGCTGTTTCCCTCATCCTGCCCTCCAGTTATTTACCAATGGAATCAGGCACGTGCTTCCCAGAGGCATTCAGGCAGAAGCTCAGGTTGATGCTGTTGACATGGGAGAAAGAGGAGAGCAATGAGCCATTGAGAGAAATCTGAGAAAGGCAGTATGAACAAGGGGGCTGATGGTTAGGTTAGAAGATATACGCCCTGGATCCAACTCATTACTCAGTCACAGTTTCATGCACAATTCCACCAACTGCAAAATGTGATTTCAAGAACCCACTTCAAGAGATTTCAGGAAGAGGCAGCCACAACTGTCAGTCACTTTGACACAGTAAAAAGGGAAGTTGGACTGTGAATACCAACCACTCTGCTCCCACCTCCAGCCAGAGATTAAACTCACCTTCTACCATCAACAGAAGGGAGGGTGAATATAAGGAAAGACCTGCTGGAAGAGGTCAAAGGCCCCTCTAGTCCAATATCCTGTTCCCACAGTGCTCAACCAGACGCCTCTAGGACACAGCTGGAAAAGCTACCTTTTCAACATACAATTCCCAGAATCCTCCAATCGTCCTGCTGGCTGGAGGATTCCGGACACTGTAAGTCAAAAAGATGACTTCTTCAAGCTTTGTTCTGGGAAGCTCCAATCCTTGGGCTCTTCCCCAACTGGTATTGACAGGCAACTGGGAGCTAGAAGCGGAACGTGAGGCCTGGGCAATTCCACTTGACTCAGAGATTCCAGGAATATCTAGTTGGCCAGGGACCCCTACGCAGTTCCTGCAAAGGCAGGAAGAGTCGGAGTCAATGAGGCACATCAATGGCCTGCATCTCCACATTTGCATCCCTTCAGGAGGAAGTTACAGCAGGTTCTCCGAGTTCTCCTGACAGGCCACAAGATGGTAAGGAGAAATCAGCGCCCAAGAGCTGGCATGACAGGAGGTGTTCCAAGGGGGCACACAGGATAATGAAAAAAGCAGGTCAATTGAGACTCTGATAAGAAATTACTTCAGAGATTACTTGAGAGATAGTCAGGCCAGACTGCCCATGGCAGCACTGAGGGAAAGAAAGTAGTAACGTTTGAGAGGGATAGATGGGGTGAGTGGGTGGGGATCCGGTCTGGCTAACTCAGCCTCTCCTCCTAGACACGTGGTCCCGCAGAGGTCAGGAGCCTACTACAATCACCCAATTCATTGACAGGCTAGGCAGGCAGCCAGGATCTCTCCACCCCCCCGCCCCATTGCCATAACCCTCCGTTGCTGAGCAACTAAAAAAAACTGTGTATAAATATAAGACCCCTCCACCCTGTCACAGCCAGAAGGCAAGTAGAACCTCTGCCTTAGTCTAAGCAAATCTGGGAGACACAAGGCTGGTCTGCATGCTATTTTTAATGACACGGAGGCTGCCTGAAAACGGTCTTCATGTGATCATTTATTCCACTGGTGCCAAAAAACACCACAGCACTCTCTATTTCCTAGTCCCCCATTTGGAAGGAGGGCAAACAAGGCTAGCACTGACATGCAGGCTGAAATTTTATTGGAACTGTACTTCAAAATATCTTCCAGGCTTGGGCTGCCTCCCCTTGAAATGGGGAGTTTGGTCACCGAGACATCCCCAAAGGAGTGACTGAAATAAGACACCCTTGTACTTCCCTGGTGTGGAACAGTCATGGTTCACCCCAAGGAACTCTTGGCACTGCAAGGTCTATAGGAAGCTGAGGTGAAAAGAAGCCAAACAGGCCTCAGGGAAAGACATGAGGATCAGTTGTACAGATGGGACCTTCCAACGTGGCTTCCCATTCTCCCAAACATCACTCACCAAGCAACTGGTGTTCCTGTGCCCTCCAGGATGCAAGCTCGCTCCTCAGGGTTAAACATGGTGGGGAAAATGCTGAGGGTGGCACTAGCGTGAACAATGGGGCGACCCCTGTGGAGGGAGACAAAAAAGCAAGGCAAACAGATATGAGACAGACAGACAGAGAGAGATGGCCTTAGAGGCAAGGCCTTAGGATGGTAACAGCAAAGACCCATTTGGCCAAAATCCTTGGATGGAGTGGTCAAAAGGCACACTTGAACCAGAAAACCTCCACGCCCTTTTCACGTCAGCAGGACAAAATCTTCAAGTATGTCAAAACAGCTCTGCTGCAACAGGTGAAAGGTCTACCTAATCTGAAATTTGGTTCACTCACAGTCCAGCCAGATGCCTCTTAGAAGCCAAGAAGTAGGATGTGGGTCCTACACCAACCCACCCCCAATTTGTGTTTCCCAACAGGATTTCCAGGATGCTCCCTCAGCTACCAGATAAATTATATAGACTTCATCCCTAGGGGTCACTGATACCCTCACTCATTTCTTCCAGTTTTCTTTGAAAGTCACTCAAATTTGTGACTATCACTACATCCGGTGTCAGCAAGTTCCACGTTTAGCAATGCATTGTGTGAAAAACAACTTCCATTTCTCTGCCCATAAATGCACATCATTCAACTTCCAGGGAGCCCAAGTTCTAGTATTATGACAAAAAGAGAAAAATACTTCCCCGCTTACTTTCTCCATATCAGGCACTTTATACACTTCTTATCTTGTCTCTCTGTAATTCACTGTTTGTAAAGTCAGTGAAAGAATATAAGACATTTCCTTACACTTGCACAGAGACACCATTTTCTCAGGAGTGAACATCCCTCTGCTCAGAGGCCAACTCTTACAAAAAGCCTTCCTAAGATCAAATCAGCCACCATCACCTTCTCAAAGTCCCGAGGAGCACATGAGGCAGAACGAGTCAGATGAATGGGAAAAGAAGGTGTGTGGTAAAAAAAATCCACATGACAGCTGTTGATATGCTGGTGAGCCTAACATTTCAGGGACTCGAAACATAAGAAAAATGTTTGTGTGAGTGCTCTAACAATGCAATCGCAATGCTTCCTGGCTCATCTGAGATTTCCTGCTTAATCCAGGAGACAATCAATCAAGTGAGTGTGATGTGTCTTATTCAAACAAGTTGTAACCATGGTACAGAGAGACTGAGAGAGAGGGAGAAAGAGAGGAAGGAAGAGAAAAAGAGAAGGAAACCCAAAATAGGTTCAACATTTCATCTGTTTTCTGGCATCGTCTGTCTCCTCTCCCAGTTTAGGTGAAAGGGATCTGTTGACATCTTCCTACTTCAGCCTTACACACTGTGCTTACCTGTAAACCATGGCTGTGTCCACTCCAAAGGCCCCTACAATCAGATCTGCAGGACAGGAAGGAGAAACAGATTTAACAAATAGATATAAGTTTTAACATACAAGAAAAGAAAAAGAAACAGAAGGGGGTTCATTGTGGACTTTAATGTAATTTCCAGGCAGAAAAAGCCTGTTGAAGCTACATTATTTGGCTTGAACAAGCATGTATCTGAATCCTGGATAATGGTAACTCTCCAATCATGATGGGGAAACATCACTCAGCAGATGTTCAGAGACACTTTTTAAAAATTAAATTTCACTTTCACATGGTGTTGTCTTTAATTGACCCCAAACTGAAAAGCTTGGGGTAAGAACAAAAACAACTACAAAAATAACTTAGAAGAAAAATAAAGCAGCCATATAACTTCATACAGATACTCAGCACTCATTCAGAACTACAAGCAAACCATTAAGAGTTCACAAAGGGTTTTTTTGGGTTTTTTTGCTTTAAAGATGGCAAGGACAGAGTCTGGGACTCTGTATGTACACCAGACACGTACTCTGTCAACTAAGCCAAAACATCTCTATGTCTCCTGTCTCCACTGGCTGCTTTTGTTAGTATTTCAAATGCTGTCCTCACCTGGGTAGCCATTTCCATCCAGGTCTTTGGCTCCACGCAAAGCAAACCCGAAAAAGTCAGGGCTCTGGCTGGCAGGCCAGTGGCCTTGCAACACCTGGGAAGGTTTGGGGTGCAGTCCATCATGCCGGCCATTGTACACGTAGACTACGCCTTGTTGGGCCTTGCCGCCAAATGGGGCTCCAATGGCTACATCTGAAGGAACATCAACACAACAGGAGCTAGAATCACCAGGATAGTTAAAAAGAACTCATAGGACAACTAAACCTCATCCAAAGAAGTTCATAAAGGAACAACAGCTGAGACTCCAATATGGTCTGCAACAAAGATACAGAAGTATGGTATTCCCTTTAAAGAGTTTTCCACCCACCTTTTCCACAACTGGTAAATGCAACGTGTCATAAGTTTCTGTGGCTTGCAATAAATTTGTTAAGCTTGGTTCAGACCTGATATGAAAACACTGGTGCACTAACCCCAGGTAAGGACTCATATCATGGCTCATGTTTCCAGATACAGAAAGAGAAAAGTCATGGTTTGGAGACACCTGTCTGGTGTCACTTCCAGTTGGCTCCCAACTAGAATATACGATTAGACCATAGGTCTGTCCAGTCCAACCACTCTGTTCCCAGAGTGGCCAACTAGAAGGAGAATAGGAGTTGATATCAAAGACGGCACGCAGTTATCATGACTAGTTTTTCATAAATTGGCTTCCAAAGGACAGAAACCTCCTGGGACAGAGCAATGGTCCCGTGTGTGTTTGTGTGTGTGTGTGTGTGTGTGTGTGTGTCTGTGTCTGTGTCTGTGTCTGTGTCTGTGTCTGTGTGTGTCTGTGTGTGCATATATTGAATGCAGGTGCTCAACCCTCAAATAGATAACTCGCTCCTAAATAAAACAAGTTAATTTATGCTTCACACCCTCTATGGGACTTCATCCAACCCTTGCCTGGGACTTCATCCCCAAGAACCCAATCTAGGAAGGTTTGGCTCACTCCCATTTAATCTAGAAACCCTACAACTTCTACCCTCATGCCAGCTCCTTGGCCCAGAGACACTATGGCTGAGAGAGTTGCTATGCTGGTTTCAACTGGACAAGATGATTAGGTGGTTTTGCTGTTGTTTTTATTGTTGTTATTGGCTTTCTTGATGTTTCTATCTTAAAAAGAAAACTCTCAAACTGGGTTAGGTTAGACACACTGGGATTCTTCCAGATTATGCTTTTTATCTGGAAATCATCCTGCTGTGTCCAGACTTTTTACATGGGTTTTAGATGGTGTTGTTTTCAAATTAAACCCCTACACATTTTCACCCTTCCTTCTCCCATCTTTTTTTCTTCCAACAGAAAAAAAATTGTAAGTGATGAAAGACGAAATAGCTACACCATAGTTATTATAAGTTGGCATTGGGACGCCAGCATCTGAAAGCACCCCAGGAGTTTCAACAACTCTTTGAACATAAGCATGTCAAGAGATAATTCTATTTGAGCACTGGTAGAAAAACATATCAGCCGGCAGAGGGCAGCAACATCATACGGAGGACTTTCTGTTACATACCAAATGATCTTCCTTCTGAATATATCTTATTATCCCCCCACCCCACCCCTCACAACACACTGTGTTTCAATGTGGACCACAAGCCCTACTTTGCCCAGAATATATACTGGAATGGCAGAAGGAAAAACCACTTCTTAATGCTGTCCTTACCATTCTGATGAATAACATAACAGCATCATTGTTAAACTAAGGATAACTAATCCTTGTTATCTGGAGCATGCACGCTGTGCCCAGGGGTGGGGCTGATCATGCCTGCTGGCTAAATCAGGTCCATTATCTCTCTGCTTATCTGACCCCTGACCACTTTTCCAGCACATGAAACCTGAACCCATCCTGCTCTGGTTTGATCCGACCCTCATATTAACTGGCTCAACAGAATGCAATGAAAGATGGGATGGGGAAACTACAACCTTCTATGTGTTGCTAGACTCCAGCTCCCATCAGCCCTGGCCAGGTTCATCAGTGATGGGGCACGGTGGAAACTGGAATTCAGTAACACGCAGAAAGGCACAGGTTCTCTGCCCCTGACCTAAAGGGAGGCTGAAGTGGCAGAATCTAGGTGGGCTGGTAGTCCACCTAGTAGCCACGACAGTCACCCAGAATTAGACACACCTTTAACAGCTGATCAGACAAAAAGTACAATCCGTGATCTTACATGAACGAGGGGGAGGGAAATGCATGGCAGTCATCCAGAATTAGACATACCTTTAACAGCTGATTAGATAAAGGTACAATCCATGATCTTACATGAACGAGGGGGAGGGAAATGCTGGTTTGAAAAGCTATTGCACAACTCTTAAAATGCCACATCAGTCTAAATGTCTCTGCCTCATGGTGGTGAGACTGTTGGGTCACCCTCCATGTAAACAGTTAGCAGAACAGGCGGCTTGCTGTGTCATTATGCAAGTCGCTGTCCTCAGTTTCCCCTTTTCAATGAGGAAAACCCATACAGAGAAGTATGCAGATGCACTTCTGGGTGAGGGCAAGCGAAGTGCATTCCCAGTGTTTACAACTAAACCACAGGGGAGAAATCAAAGCCCTCCACATGCTGTCAGACTCCAACTGTTAATCATCATTGGCTAACTGTTGTGGAAACGACAGTCCAACAACTTCTGGATGGACAGTGGTTCCTCGCCCTTATTGTTAAAGCAAATCAGCGTGCTTCAGCTGTGAAAAGTCCAGAAACCCTGCTTGACATGGAACAGGAATTTGGCATCTGTGCCTTTGCTTCATTGCGAAAGAAGAGAAGGCTAGAACTAATGAACTGTATGGTGACCCATCACACCAAAACTACAAGGCGGTCAATAACAACAAGAAGAATTTGTCCTAAGGGACGTTCACATTTTGCAAGAGAATGACTAGGAATTTAATTTTCTCTTCTCTGTGCACGCGTACATCATCTGCTAACACAGACCCGTCCCTAGTCAAGGGCATTCTTTTCCCCCCCATTATTCAAACATCCAACCTCCGTACCATTATAGCCATCCTGGTTGAGGTCTCCGAGTGGGGCAATAGCACTGCCAAAGCGACCAAACTCCTGGTGACCGGTCAGGATGGCCGAAGGGCTTGACTCCATGCCGTACAGCTGTTGCAGGTAGATGTAGACCCTGCCCACCTCTTGCACTCGACCATCTTCTGTTTTCTCCATAAACAAGGGGGCACCAATTAGCAAGTCATCTAGGCTGAAGGGCAGGGGGAAAGAGGGAAAGTTAAGATGAAAACCAGTCATTCCAGAATCAAATAAGAAACACAACTCATTCTTGAGATGGGGAAATCAATGAAGGAGGCTGGAAATGGGAGAGAAACATGGTCTAGTTACCCAGGGACACCTTCCTGAACTCTGTTTTGGGTACTTTCTTGGGGTATTTTCTTACAGTTCCTACATAGTACATGTTCTCACATATACCAAAGCTTTCCCAGACCTCAACAAACCAAACATGCCCTCAGCAACTTCCATCCCTGAGAAGGACCATTTATTCATTTATTTATTGCATTTATATGCCGCCCATCTAGACATAGTCTACTCTCCCTTCCTAGCCTTGGTTAGCTGCTGACTGCATTTTCCCCTCCTTGACACTCACCCATCACTGTTGAGATCAGTGGCAGCCACTGCATACCCAAAATAGGATGCCATCTGTTGAAGAGAAAAAAATGACAGGCAGCAGTCAGGCTTAGAATGTCCGCATGGGGCAGGCAGTCTTGAATCAATGGAACAGTGGTGTTGACTTCTGCAAGGCTAGTTACCCAATTCATCTCAGATACATTCTTATTACGCTAGCTGGGCACTTCCATATTATTTCTTCATTTGCATTACTGAACACAGGGAACTAGGCTTAAAGGTGGGGTGGTATGCTCTGCACTATAAAAGAATTTTAAAAATGTGCCACTATCAGTCGAACTCTGAGCCATGGGGAAAAAAGATTCAGCAACCTGTATACACTATATACAGGAACGGTGAGAAACGGCACACCTTTTTTTTATTTTGCACTTTATTTTAAAACCCGTGATGAGGTGGAGCAAGGAGCTATGAAGGAAATAGAAGTGCAGGTCTCCAATTGCTGAAAATCTTTCTCAAATATATTTCAGGCTTTTGAGATATCTGACTGTGTTGTTCACATATTTTCACAAACATATGTTTGCAACCCTAACAGCTAGAAATGGGTTTTATTGAAAAGAAAACTCAGAAGTTTTAGGCACAGAATTCATCACCATATTTCACATTTTGCACATCTGCTATACTATTACATAGTCATGACAGAGGCACCGTCCTGTTTATAGCCCTGAGGTAAGCTAAAAGGTGATTTCTGGGGACAGGATATTTCCTCTTTTCTTTCTGCTGCACTGATTCCTGAAATAAATCTCAAGCCTTTGAGGCTTATGTCTGGCTGAAAACATTAAAACAGCAGGAAGAGACAAAAGATTCTGGCTTGAGGGATCTGGGGCCTTTTTTAATAGGTACCCTTCCGACGTCCTATACTGAATTCTCATTGCTGAATTCAGTGTGGACAACATAGCTACTCACCTGTTCTCCAGAAAAGTTGTACAAGGGCCGAATGTCACTCCCGTTTAGAACTGTAACCTGGAAAAAGAAGCATATGGAATACTGTATAGAGGCAGCATCTCCTGCAGGGGCCCCGGGAGACATCAGCCTGGTAGAAGGGAACTAATTGATCAAGCCAACTTCTGACAGGAAGAGAAAGAAGATTCAGGAATCCTTGCTCCCAAGCCCAAAGGTGGTTTAGAACTTCTCTCATAGGCTAATCTGGCTAGGATGGTAGGAAAAGGTAGGCCAAAATAATCTGCAGGGCCACAGTTAATCGCCTCGGTCCTTGTCCCCTTTTTAGAGCCACACATAGAACCCTGGAGTCCTGGCTGCCAACCTGTGATCTTCTTTCCTTTTAAAATATTTGTTCACATTTTTCAAGTCGCTGTAATACATTTCTATGGATGTGTTCCATATGTTTTGCCACTGGAACATTTTCGTCCCTCTATATCCGTGTGGCTATTTTGTCACAGTCTCTAACAGGATGTGGCAGTAGTTGGGGAATGCCCTAATGCAGAAATCTATCAGTTCTGTTTCAGGATTCCCTTAGATTTCCTCTTCTACAATACAGCACTGAAATATAAAGCTGAATTAAAGGAATCTGTATGGTGAGAGAAACTGAGTGAGTGGGTTTCTGTATTGTGAAACCCATGGGTGGGGAGGGGGCCTTCAAGAAGTCTCTGGTGAGTCCGAAGGCGGCAGCTCGGTTCATCCAGGGCAATTCCTCGGGCTACCAAATAGGTCACAGCAAGGCCACCCAGTGAAAGGGTGTGTCGGGAGGAAGGGAAGCTGTGTCACATGCTAGAGGCAAAGACTATCACAGCTCTTAAGTAACTTTCACAAGATCATGTATTTGTCCTCAACCACAGTCAAAAGCCTGCAGGGAAATTGATTTTGCTCAGTTCTGGGGCCCCAATGGCTGAACTCCAGTAGAAGTAAGTTGTAACTACAGTAGGTTCATTGAAGATCTGGTGAATCAACTCTTCCGTATGTTCCACTGATTCAGTGGGTCTACTGTAGCTGCAACTTACTACTGGATTTCAGCTGTTCTGCCAAAACATACCTCCTCTATAGAAATGCACTGGCTTTATAAAGGTGAAGAATAAAACATGCAGCTCAGAAATATCAAATTAAGAGCGGATGGAAAAGAAACAATGCTGTGAGAGATAATGTCTCTCTTAGTTTACAAAAAGTGGATAGTCCGATCAGGTCATTCATCCCACGGCAAAAGCAGCCACACAGCAAGGGCCCAGGGGAGCCACTGAGCACTAGAAAGGGCCACTGCTTCCTGGTGGATTTGCACCTCCTTTGACTGTGCAGGCCAACTTTCCACCATGTCCACACAGGAAAATTAAATCTGAAGGGGTCTTTTCTAGTAGCGCACCTACTGGTGCTGATGCCAAGAGGTGTAATCATGGAAACTCTTTAGTGGTGTGCTTGTTGCCTGTGTCAGGCCAGAGGCACTTGATTTGTACCTCTGTGTTTAGTAAGGAGTAAAGCACACACCCAAAGAGCAAAACCAGTACCAAAACTCCTTTCAGTCAACTGCATGATAAAGTAATACTGAAGTTCTGTTGAGTATTTCCATAGGTTTCATCATGCTAGCAACCCTGAAGCTTCATAATCGAGGATGATATATATTCTACCAAGACAAAATAGTAAAGGAAAATCTAAGATGCAAATATAGCAATGTATAAGCAATCTCTTTTGGAATCTTCTCTCAAGCTGGTGGTTTCCAGATGTATCCAAGTGAAACATCCATCATCAACTCACATTGGCAGCTCTGACTAAGGATAGTAGGAGTTATAGTCCAAAACATACAGATATGTTGGGAAAGGCTTGAACCCAGGATGACATCCCTCTGCTCTATTTTCCAGGAACAAATGGCGGCTCAAGCAGAACAGGAATGGATTACTTTAAGGTTAAACAGCTCAGCTCTGGCTTTTGAGTTCTCAGTAGAAGGGACTTCCCAATCTGTGGCTTACCACTGAGAAAGCTCCATAATATTCTCTTGCTATTTGAACATGAAAGCAGCTGCTTTTTGGGTTTTTTTGTAAAATTACACCTGGAGGAATTTGAGGAAGCCCACATGCACTGAACAGGAAAGCTGCCTTTGAGAGTCCTGGTGCCACTGCATTATTTCCCAAATTCTGCACCACTTCTACACCCCTAGTAGTTCCTAAAGGAATTATTATGATCGGTGGCTCAATCTTGCAACGGAAGGGAAAGACAGACTCAGCCCAAACCAAAACATCTTAAAAGTTGCAAGGCAGAGGAGAGTGCCAAGCGGAGCACAAACAAAAAGATGGGAGTAGGAAGGTAAAAGAGACAGGGTTGGCTCTTACGTATCCATAAGTCAGGTTTCCTTTAGGAACGCCTGCCACAAAATCTGCAAAAGACAGAGAAAAAAACCCAAGGTCATTGACACCAGTAGGTATCTGTACTGCTGCAATTATGAAATACATACAGTACGTACTACATTCTATATTACCTAATATTCAGTATTACATACTATGCACAAAGCAAGTTTCTCGTTCTCATGGGAGGATAAATAATTTTATATATATAATATGACCATGAAGAAACTAGCTGAGAACTCTGGATGAAAACTGTGTGCTCCCACCTAATACTATGAGCTCCCATTGCCATTATAGGTGTGTGCCCTCATTTAGCATCTTAACATTCTCTCCACAGTCTCTGACAAGAAAGGAAGAACAATAGATAACAAGTAGCTGCACAAGCTATTGCCTCAAACAACAACAACAACAACACAGCACGAATCATTTTTCTAGAATACAATGGTTTCATTCGTTTTGGATGCCTAACCTCCTTGTTGTCCAACAGATGAACATACAAAAGCCCAACCATCCTCTCTCAAAACGCCCCCCCTCTCTCAGAAAGCCCATCTGTACCTTCAGTGGAGTCTCCGCTGAATTCCCCTACAGCCACAGAGTAGCCTAGAAGTAAAGTGGAAGAGAAAGCATAATTAAGAAAACTGGTTTCCATAGTACACCCTCCGAGAAGTGGTTACAGAAATTCCCAGCATGCTCTGAAGCGCTGAAGCAGGCCACAGGTCTCATAGGTGTGAAGCGTTAATCATCAGTCTTAGAGATTAAGTGTCTCTAAGAGGCAACATCCTTCTTCATCCAGGAAAGGCCACAGGTCATTGTAATCATGGTTGTCTTTCTGTTTCTCCCAGAAGATCAATGTACTCAATCCTTTTTCCAGGGAAATGTCATTATGGTGGTTGGCGTGAAATAAAGCGAAAATCACAAGAAGGAACATTTCCACTTCAGAGCTCATATTCATAGAAAACTATTTCCCTCAGACACGCACTGTCTAAAAGGGAAGGGAATTCCCAGAAAATTGGGACATTCCAGGGTTTCCTCACAGATTATGAAGAATTACAAACCACTCACTATTCTTACTGTGTGTGAACTTCCTCCAGCAGGAGACGTTGGCCCTACTATGGTTCCCAGCATCACTCCTCCCACCGGCTTGCCTCCAAAAGCCCGGCTTCCTGTCCGAGCTGCTAACATTTGTGACTCACCAAAAATGTCTGGCTCATCTCTCCAACACTGACCAGTCTTTTTAACAGGACTGATATTTCAGGCAAGGAGCGATCGGACACACCAGGTCTGCCTCGCTCGCTGAGACAGAGGCAAAGAGCCCCTTAACCCAAATGCAATGAAGGTTTTTGCAGAGACTCTAACTTGAAGCACACCTCTGCAGTTCACTGTGGGTCTGCCTCGTTATCTTGGTTCAATTTTGGGAAAGTGCTGCCAAAACGAATAAAGGGAGCCTTCATTTTCACAATGAGGAAGAAAGGGGTTAAAGAGCCCTTTGTGTCCAAAGTTGAAGGGGGAAAAAACAAGCTGAATATGTTATATGTGTGGGTGGTGGGCGAGGACAGGAAGGATCTTTGAAATCAAGACCAAGACAGAAAGGCTCACCCCAAATAAAAACAATGGAAAGTTAATATCCATTCTTCGAAGCTTCCAGAACCGGCAGTTCTGCTGTAAGGCCCCCACACCTAACAAAAGTGAAATGGCCATGCAACCATTTCCTGTTTTGTTTGCAAATTTTGAAAATGGGGAAACAAGAGACCTGTGGGAATAGAAAATAGGTCTCTGAGCCCCCACAACTTGTCTAGCTCTGCCTTCAAAGGTCAGTTGTCAGCTGATAGTGTGTAAACTGGGAGTGGGACCCAGTGGTGGCCCTGCCGGACGTTGTTGTGCTACCCACCATTCCTAGGCTCGCCAGAGCTGAAGAGAGATGCCATCCCACAATTTGGAAAGCTTCACATTGCCCATCCTTGCTAAATCCAGATTTGAGGGTTAACTCAGTTGAGTCAAGGATCCCAGGAAACCAACCGTAGGAAGCAGATCGAACAACCTAGAGGAAAGATGTCCACCCAGAAGGTGCTAACATGGATGCTCAGCAACCAGCCACCAGGAAAACACTACTACCGTCAAGTAACCGGCCTTTTGCTTTCTCTCCAACACTTACCCAAGTAACTGTCATCAGCATTGATGTGAGCTTGCCGGGTCTCCAGCTGCCCTTTAACTACCAGGATTAAATATTCAGGGTAATAGGACTCTTCAATGGCATCCTGTGTTGCCGATAGCACCTGGCCTGAAAAAAAAAGGTGTGCTGCAATGGTTAGAGTGTTGGACTAGGTCTGGGGAAACCTGGGTTCAAGTACTTGACTCAGGCTAGCCTAAAACACCTCAGCTCCACCCACCTCACTCAAGACACATATTGCATAATTTGAGGTGATGTAGCCCGTAATTTTGTGTCTGCGTGCATGGGGTGCATTTAGGAATGCTCCATCTATTTCTAATTTAAACAATTATTTCTAATAAAAATTGCTTTTCAATTTTTTAAAAATGTTATTGTTACATCTTAGAACTACAGAGCTGGAAGGGACCCTAAGGATCATCAAGTCTGGCCCCTTTCAAGGAGGCACAGTGAGGAATTGAACTCCCAACCTCTGGCTCTGCAGCCAGATGCCTAAACCACTGAGCTATCCAACAGTTCTCCATATGTTTAGCTGATTTTAATGTGTGCTTTATACCATTTTCATTGTGTGATTTTAATTGACTATAAGCCACCCTGAGTTTTTTATACCATTTTCATTGTGTGGTTTTAATTGACTATAAGCCACCCTGAGTTCACTATGGGGAGTAAACTGGCCTATGAAATGAGTGAGTGAGTGAGGAAGCAACTTTGTCTGTCTCTGGTAATACAATTAAAATAATAATAAAATTAAATAATTGACAAGTCGCTGCCCTTTCATGACATCCCAGCTCTTCTGCCTGAGGTGGCTGCCTTACTCTGCCTAATAGAGCCAGTTTTGACACTCAGCCATGGAGCTCACTGGGTGATCTTGGACCAGTCACACACTCTTTGTGTATATTACCTCACAGAGTTTGTGTGAGGTTAAAAACAAATATAGAGGAACCACATATGACAACTGAAGTGTTTTGGAAGAAGGGCAGGATCTATGCATGATGAATAAACTAAAATGCTTATGTAGCTTTTTCATTTGTTTGTCCACACAAAACAGCGTGTGGACATCAACATCCTCATGTGTGAGGAGGCGAGCCAGCTGTGTTGCGAAGTGTACTGCAATTCCACAGGGACACAAGAAAAGTGCAGAAAGCGGTGTAAAAACTGCACTCCCTGTGAATCTCAAGTTTTCCTTTTGTTTTTCTCAAGAAGGGGAAGTGGCCAGGCTTCACAGTTGAGGAGTTGTGTTCAAAGGGTTAGTTTAAAAACAAACGAGAAAACTTGAACTGGGCCCATCTAATGAATAGTAATGGACATTAAAATTGTATTAATCTGCCTTGCACTGTAATTTGTTATTACAGAACTGACAGAGAACACAAGCCACTGTGTTCTGAAAGTTTCCACAGTCTAGTCCATCCCTGTTTTATTACAGGACATTTTGTTGGCCTCCACAAAAGGCTCCCTTCTCCTCCTCACAGCCATGTGGCTACAGCAGCCTAACTTTTGAGCATAAGTATCCTGCACCACTCTAACTTTAGCCCAGTAGCACAAGCCTTCAAACCAAACAGGTAATTGTGGGGGGAGGGAGAGAAAGAGTTCCACATTGTTGAAGGGGTGTCAGCAATTTTGTCTGGGAAAACTGTTATTAGAATAAACAAGCTGGACACCACAAGACAAGATGGTTTGGTTCTGGGTTTTTAAGGTTTTGTGTTGCAACATATATATTTGCAAATCTGAATGTATAGACTTAGTATAAGAAAACTGGATGAAACAAGACCAGACCAGACAGAAAATGGTAGGGCTCCATACAGGACAGTTTGACCATAGGTTGTAGTTGTCGTGTACCCTCGACTACAACATGTGGTTTGTGACAATTCTTTGAATGGGCAACCTCCACAATGAATAGACTTGCTCAACTCTTGCAAACTCAAGGATGTAGTATCTTTTATGGAGTCAGTCCATCTCATATTTCGGAGGATTTACGGAGGATTTACGGAGTCAGTCCATCTCATATTTGTTCTTCTTTTCCTGCTGCCTTCAATATTACCTAGCCTTTTTGTCTTTTCCAGTGATTCATTATATACACGTTTAAAATTCATGTTCATAATTCAAAGTACAATCCACATTAATCTGCCTTGTGCTGTGACCAGAATTATAAATAGGACACAGAGATTTGTGAGGGGAAAAATTGAGAAGGCAGCTGTATTAGGCACCTCTAAGACTAACACATTTCATTTGGTATACATTTATCTAAACTGAAGACTTGCATAGAGAAAAATAGCTTGTCAAGCAGGAAACTACAGCAGTTCATTATATGCTAATTTCCTGCACTATCATGCTTGTTGGGTTTCCTAACTACAGTAGTTTCCAAAAGTTACAAAGCAAGATTACCTATTCAGGATCTATGAACGTTCCGCCAACCTAGCGGTTCGAAAGCATGCAAATGCAAGTAGATCAATAGGGACCACTTTGGTGGGAAGGTAACAGTGTTCCGTGTCTAAGTCGCACTGGCCACGTGACCACGGAAGATTGTCTTCGGACAAAATCCTGGCTCTGTGGCTTGGAAACGGGGATGAGCAACGCCCCCTAGCAGTAGTTTCCAAAAGTTACAAAGCAGGATAACTTATTCAGGGTCTCTGAACCTTTAAGACTTGACTCACCTGGGACAAATAATCTTACTCAAGAATTCTTGCTCAAAAATTTAAGACTTGATTTAGTGGGTCAAGAAATGAAGGCAAATTGAACTAGCATTCCACCTGCTTACACTGGCTCTTTACCTTTATGAACCTTCAAGACTTGACTCACCTGGGACAAATAATCTTACTCAAAAATTCTTGCTCAAAAATTTAAGACTTGCTTTGGTGGGTCAAGAAATGAAGGCAAGTTGAACTAGCATTCCACCTGCTTACACTGGCTGGCTAGATGTTTCCAGCAGGTTTTGATGTATAGAATGGTTTAAACGTTTTAAACTTCAGCCCCACATGACTGGCCCTGCTGGGCAGGGTTGACAGGAAGTCCAAATCCTATGGAGGCCCAAAAGTTCTAACTCCTGTACTGTATGGTACACACTGGTGTGCCACAAACCAACCACTTCCCCCTATTCAAGTTGCGGGAGGAACTTTTCCTCCCCTTGGGGAGCAGTCCGACAAGCACCCTCAGTACAGTATAATAGACACACTGTGGTCATTCTACTGAATATCTGAACCAGCTCTTAAACTGCCATAAAGGCAGCTCAGCACCTCCTGCGGCTGCGTCTTGCTTGCCATTACCATGGCTTTTCCAGAGTTCTCTGTCCTGTCTCCAACTCCTTTGCCTTCTTTTGCTCAAAACAACAACCTTAGTCCTCTCTTTCTTCAGCCAGGATGGTGGAGAAACCGGGGGAATCAAAATGCCCTTGGCTGTTTTGCCTTCTCAGTGGAAGTGACGGACTCAGTCCTAATGCGTGATGCCTGATTCCGGATTGTTTAGCAGGCTAACGGGGTGGGGGTTGAGGAGCTGAAAGGCAGGGGTGTGGGTGCTCACCTTGCCAGAAGTAGCTTCCTGGGCCACCGAGAAGAACTCGTCCACTCTTAAAAACAAAACAAAAAACAAAAAAACAGGGAAAAGAATTAGTACCCACAGAAGTAAGTGATCCTATAGCTCTCAACTTTGGTTTCTAATGGTTTTTTTCCCTTTCTTTAACGTATCTGTACCCAGCCCATCCTTAAATAAGTTCAGAGTGACATATACTGTAGTTTCCGCTTGTATGTTCCCAGCTGCACTGTTTATTAGGTTGGCTCAAGAGAGGCTAATTGGCCTAGGATCAGCCAGCAAGCTTCAGGGGATGTGAACCCATTCGTGTCCCTTGGGATAGGCTACCTCACACCTTCCAGTTAGTGTAGAACACAACTTCACAGCTTCTGACACCTATAAACCCATGGCCGGACTTCCCCAACCTGGTGTCCTGCAGATGTTTTGGATTTCATCTGCCATCAGCCCTGCAGTAAGAACCTGTACTCCAGAACATCTGGAGGGTACCAAGCTTAGGGTGGTTGCAATTTACTCATGGGGGGGGGGATGATGAAAGAGATAGCTACAGCACTGAAGGACTGTTCTGTCATATTGAAACCAGTGATCCTGAGGCAGTTAGCCAATACTAGCACCTTTCTATGTAAGTCCAATTGCATAAGGTGGGCTCCACTGATTCTGAACATGCTCTTTCCCTGTTCTGTGTAACCACAGTTTGACTAAGCAAGGGAGGGAGGGAGGGGAAATTTCTTACTGGCAAGGGCATTCAAGAGCAAGGGCGCCCCTAGCAGAGATCTGGGTTGATGGGGAGTGCGACACAAACACAGGGCCATTCTACCTTTATCTGGGATTATGTGTCCTTCACAGTTTACACTTCTGTGGGTTTCAGTCTACATTATTTCCATGTCTAGTTGATGGGGACTCTTCAGGAATAAGGCCACCTGCCATCCCTGCCTCACTGTAATTGTAGAGGTGTAGCGGTTTCTGCTTCTGCTTCTTCCCCAGTGACATTTCAGCTACCACAAATTGAGAGTGTAGACGACAGCTGTGCGGTTGTGCCTACAAGTAGCCTCCTTCATCTGTAGCTTAACCAACCCTTCACCCCAAGGAAGAAATCTGCCTGGCTGCAAAAAGTACAGAAACATAGCATCATGCAGTCTTGCTGGGCTTCCTGGGGTCTCTTGTGTGGAGAAAGCTGGGATAGAAACGAAGTAAATGAATGAATGAAATAAAACAAATGCTGCCTATATTCTTGGGTGGGCTAGAAAATAAAATAAATACTGCTCATATTTTCTCAGGTGGGCTAAAAACTCACCTTTGTGAATTCAGCACTAAATCCACTTTGACAGTAGCCTTGCCCACGAGCTGAGTTCAGGTCTGGCAGAGAGACGGGAAAGAGAAATTTAGAGGTGCTTCAACTGACGACAGTACAGAACGATGTGGATGCAAGAGATAATTAGAGTTAAGTTCTATAGTACACAGCAATCAAATTACACCGTGGTCAGAATCCTGCTGGTAATGTAACATGAATAAAAGGGAAATAGTGCAAGTTGTAGCAGTGAACTGTTGCTAATTATTGAGGTGCTAGTTGCACCTATGATATACATCTGAAACACTACCAGTATTTTATTAATCAGCAGCAATTCACATCTGCAACTTACACTCTTTCATTTGTTTATGTGTAGTCTGCTAGCAGGATTCTAACCATTGATAAAAGAGTTTGCCACAACTACTTCCCTAACCTTTTGACGGTACAAATAAGGTAAACAACTGGATGAGGCTGCAGGAGCCTGCCTGCTTCTGAGGGAAGGAAAGACAGGGTGTTAGGGTACTGCCATGGGGGAAGCAGGAGAGGTTGCCCACTGTATCTCTAGATGCAGCTTTGCCATAGGGGAATCAGGAGAGAAGGTTGCCCACTGTATCTCTAGATGCAGCTCATCTGGCTCTTCCTGAGTTGTTGGCCAGTCCTCTCCATGTGTTGCTCCCATGCGGTCCAGTTGTTAGCCAGTCCTCTCCATGTGTTGCTCCCATGCCACAGCTGTGTATGGCCCAACAGCTTTGCCCATGGTAAAGCAAAATGTAAGAACAGGTCGAGTAAATCAGATATAGAGCAGGGAAAGCTGATCCAGTGTAACAAGGGGACCTAGCCTGCTCTGTGGCTGTTGCTCTCAGAGATCAAGGACACACACCGACACTTAATGGCTGTGATACTGGTCCTCCTCTTCAGTGCCCCTGTTTCATTACCTGAACGGCAAGGTGCATATTCCACAAACTTGGTGAAGTTGTTGACCGAGAGGTAACAAGTGCCCACAACCTCACGCTGAGGCTCGTCCTTGTTTGTTCGCCAGCTGTAGAGAGGGGCGCAGGCCTAGAGGAAGGGAGATTTTTTTTCATAAGCAAAGCATAGCCTGCAAGAAGTTAATTAAGCTGCGGCAACAGATGAAGTGAGATCAGCTCCACAGGACTCCAAAGCCAAACAGTGTGGCTCGTGAGGCGTGCTGCCACCAAAGAGATGCCCTGCCTTCAGAAAATAACTATCCTGCAATCTCTAGATCTGCTCCAAAGTTAACTTTCTTTTCCAGCATAAGATGGCTTAACAAGTCACTCTGGGACAAACGTTCCCAAATTCTGTGTCAACTAGCCATGAAAGGGGATGAAATGCACTTTTTAAAAAAAACGAATTACACCTACTCTATCCCTCTCCCTTTGTTGATTTCTGCCAATACTAGAGGATTTTATAACTGAGATGAGGTTAATAAAGACCTCCATTGTCCATCACCATGATACTCCAAAATCAAAACAAACTCAAGTCTAGGAGGGGATAAATAGGAGGTCCAAGGTCTTTCCTGCCTTTTAAAAGAAGCCAGCCTGTATCTTTGACAGAGAAAGCTCCATGATATTCTGCTCTGCAGATCTATTTCAAGATTGCATCAGTGTTTCACGGAAACTTTTATAACAAGCAGTGACCACAACTGACAGATTGTTCCAATAATAACTTACACATGGAATTCCGACAATGGGTTGCCTGGCCTCCAAGGGTGTTTCCATCCCCATGTTAGAAGTACAGCAGTTAGATAGCAGGGAAAATTACTGGGGCCATCCAGGCGTCTTACCTTGCAATCCAGTATCAGTTTAGTAAGAAATAAGGGCCATTTCAGTCAACGGGCGCTCACTACAAAAGATGGCTCCCTAAATCTCCAGCATTAAAAGGAAACCAGATATTTTCATTTCCTAATTGAGACAATCTGGTTGCCACAACACCAATACAGGATTAGTCCATATTAGTAAAAGTATAGGAAATACACTATTTTGGGACACCTTCTGCAGTCATCTATCTATTTAACTGCACATCCCTGCAACATACAAGCCACGTGCTGGCTGAACTTAGCTATGCCAATTTCAACAAACTCTAAAGCACTTCCTTATGACTGCAGCTCCATGTGCTCCGAAGATCACACTCTACAGAGAATTCCAGCATTTGGAGGATACAGCCAAGAGCAAAGGAAATATTTCCACCATGGCAGGGCAATCGTTACTTTAGATGCCTTTGCACATTACAGTTGATGTCACAACTCAACGCTTACCAAGATAGAGCTGCCATGTGATCGCACTGTGGCTCCAAACCACTGCAGAGATTTGAACTCCATTTGCTCCATTGTCCCATTAAAATCTTCTGTGCGGGATCCTGAGGAAAGGCAGAAAACACTCATGGGCTCGGATTAACATTCCCCAGACGATGTTTTCCCCTGCCCTGCCAGGAGATGCTACAGACAGAAACCCAATCTGAGCTGTAGTCACTCGAACACAAATGGCAGGGAATCTTGAACTGCACAATGAGGCCTTGCCTAAAAACTCACCTTGAGAAAGCCTCTAAAGATTGGAACCTGTTTGAACGCACACTTCTCTCAGCAAATGGGATGCTGGGCCAGGATCAGGGGAATGTTCAAGAATTGCTCTGTTTGCGGACTGTGGAAAAGCTACTCTTTTTTTTAGATTAAAGCCCCTAGACTAGAGTCTTTCAGCCAACTCTCTGTGTGTATGTGTGTGTGTGTGTGTGTGTGTGTGTGTGAGAGAGAGAGAGAGAGAGTGTGTGTGTGTGTGAGAGAGACATGTATCTTCTGTCTACAAAACACAAAACTGATTCTACCTTCACAAACTGCTGTGCTTTTGATCCCCTGTGTGCAGACCAGGTCTGTCTATCCTCTTTCACTTCCCCATGTACCATTGTCCCTGTTACTTCCTTGCCCATTCACAATCCTCCATCTCTTTGCTGCCTACTTTCCCAGAATGTGGTCCATTATCTTGACGAATAACTTCCAAACTGCATGCCAGATCACAATGGAGTTCTACTACAGAAAACCTGATGTGTACCATGAAAAACAAACCAATTCTATAACGAAAAGTGGCCGAGTGTTCAAAATATCCACATAGTGGGAAGGCAGAAAAGCTATACTTCTGCATGAGGCACTCACTAATCTGGTCTTGCCTCCTTCTAGCAAGCCCTGGATGGCATCTGAGCAAGTCTACTACAGTGCTGCCTCGCTTAACGATGTTAATTGGTTAAAAAAAATATCGCTGCTAAGCGATTTCATCGCTAAGCGAAACGCGGTTTCCCATTGAAATGCATTGAAAACCGGATAATCCGTTCCAATAGGAACAAATTGCCGTCTTTAAGCAAAAAAACGCAATAGGAAACATCGCTAAGCGAAACACAGTTCCCCAATTGAAATGCATTGAAACCTATTCAATGCATCTCAATGAGGGGAAAAATACAACAACAAATTAAAAAAGAGTCAGAACAAAGTCAAATTTGGTTAACAAAGGGTTTATTAAGTGCACTTTATGATTTCACACATTTTAAACAGTAAACTTTAACTTTATAAATAACAGAAAAACATTGAAAAAACAACAAACATGAGGCTGTTTAAACCATTGTTAAGCGAAACAGGGGACCCAAAATGTAATCGCTATGCGAAGCATGGTCCCAACCATCGCTAAGCGAAAATCGCCCATAGGGACCATCGTTAAACGAAGCGTAAAAATGCTCCAAAAAAGTCATCGCTAAGCAATTTCATCGTTAAACGAAGCAATCGCTAAGCGAGGCACCACTGTACACCCCAACACAAGACAGAGTGGCCATATGATTGCACCACGCTTCCACAATGGATCATTCAGTCACTCCCACTCCCAAACTGCCTGCCCTTTGGAGAAGGATAGCCTTCCACATCCTTGCATGGTTCATTGCTTCTGATCAGAAGACAAGTCCAGATCACCAGCTCGTGAAGGAAATGCAATCAAATACTTTCTGAAAAGTACATATCTTGAGACATGGGCATCTAATTTTAATTCAGACAGCTGTGGGGGGGGGGGGAAGAATGCTTCTGCTGCAAGGGATTTGTGAAGTACTGGCCTGGATCCTAGGCTAATAATTGCTGCCTTTAGTTTTAATCCAGACCAGAAGAAGGACTGCCAGTCTGCAGACTCTGCTCCAGACAGGGCCACTTATATCTCAGCAGCACAAGAGCAAAGTCTCTTTGGTGAGATACTGGCAAAGCACCCGGGAACCTTAGGAAAAAATGAGCAGGTTACTTATTTCATCCCCCCAAACCTCATTTAGAACTGATTCCAGAAAGCTATTCTAGAACGAGTGTGAGCCAGAAAAAGGACCACAGCCTATTTCTGGACTGTTCAGATTTCCCCAATTTTCTTTCTCTAAAGGACCCTGCCAAAAATAAAATATGGTTCCACGTGGGTCTCCCTCGCTTGCCAACTCTCTCATTTAATTCACATCAGTGTCCTGGAAAATCAACAATCTTTGTCATTTCAGAAACCCCACAACATGGCTGTGAACAATACTTCAGAAATTCCGTCTCTGTTTACTCAGAGGAGAAAATATTTCATAATACAGCATTATTTTCCATTTCCCGCCCCTCAAGATTTCCCATTGTTGTTATTTAGCAGGGAGGGATCAAGCTACAAGGAGAAAACTGCAGTAGGAGAGTAATGACTTGGTTAATAAAAATGTTTACGTCTCCCAAGCCCTCCTGTGCTATCCACTTATCCAGCTGCAAAGATTTTTCAGCCTACGAACCAAGAGATTACACATAGTTCAAAAAGTTACTTCTAAAAATCAGATACAACTATAATTCTGAAAATCAAAGCCATCATTTATTACCATTAAAGTTGCTATTTTAATTAATAACTAATTTAATTTGTGCACAAAAGGGATTAATTATTAGTATACTCTTTTCAGGCAGATGTTTAACCATAGTGAGAGTCCCTGGATGCCATTTTTTAATTAATAAGTTTTTAATGTTTTACATGGTTTGAATTAATCAATTTTTTAAAGTCAGTTTTATAGTTTAATTGGTTTTTAATGTGCAACTGATTGCATTTTTAAATTCTATTCTTTTTTAGGACTGTGGGCCACCTTGAGTCTCCTTATCGGGAGAAAGACAGCTTAGAAATAACAAAAATAAAATAATAAATAATCCCTTCGCAAGGGTTCTTTGGTAAGAATATTAGTAATATGCAATACGTAGCTCAAGGACAGTGTGGGCTATGTCCAGCATGTGAGAAGCAACCTGGACGTCCTTAAGATCCCTGCTCTGTGCCTCTCTTGTCAGAATGGGTCTGTGCCCAGGAGCGATTGTTTGAAGTTTCACAATATTCTGAGGGACATTCTATTAGGACAGTGGCCCCCAACCTTGGGTAACCCAGGTGTTCTTGAACTGCAGTTCCCAGAAACCTTCACCACCAGCTGTACTGGCTGGGGGTTCTGGGAGTTGCAGTCCAAGGACATCTGGGTTCCCCAAGGTTGGGAACCACTGTATTAGGGATAATGTGAGAAATGTAACTGTCACCTCCCTGGTTCAGCTGCAAGTGCTGGTGATAAACCCACCAACACAGAAGGACACCAACCACTGGACAGTTTGCCCAAGCAATCCTCAAATCTATAGCTGGTATAGTATTTAAGATGAGCTGCAGGCGATTTTGAATTCATGTGGGACAACTGACTGGTCAGCATGAGTGGCCCCCAACAGCCGTGTGATCTAGGCATGCCTGCCAGAACGCGCTCCATTTTCTTCTGTAAGGGTCCTCTGACAGTCACGCGCATTCCTCAGCAGGGGTAAAAAAAACACCAAGACTTACTGAACTGAACATATTTTGCTGTTTGAAGCAGAACAGAACATGGCACTAACCCCTGCCTCATATCAAGAGCACTATAGCCAAGACTGACCAAGTTACTTTGACACCAGAGGCAGAAAAGGCCACCAGTGCTTCTCTACACCAAGACAAAAAAAAATTACTATAACCAATGGTCACTTGCTCTTTCATATCACACAAAACATGCTATCCCTTACAGCCATGTTGCCTAAGTGATAGGGCTGCTTCTCTGTTGCTCTCCTTTTCTGAGGGTATACAAGATCAAACCCAAGAAATGGTAGCAAATTTTTCTTAAAATCAGCCTGGCTCTTTTTTTTTTTTACTTAATGTGTTCTTTCCTTCTGCTTTGTTTATAATACATGCAGCCCACTCTGTCTAGTAGAGGTGTCCTCTCCCCAAAGGTTATACAGGGTCCAAATGATAAATGAGATTATAAAGAAATAAGTAACAAGAGGGGAAAAAAAATATTTTATGCACTATTTTTTCTTGGGCTTTTTCATGGCTGAAAAGTTATTCAGTGGTAGATTTTTTTTAAAAAAAACCCAGTCCAACAACTCTAAGTGTTTATTGATTCATTTGTTTCTGAGTACGTATGCATTCTTCTGTGTGTGAATTATATTTGAAAACTCTGGAACACCAATGAACCCAACAAATATCCATACACTGCTTTGCATTTTGGTGGTGGTGGGGTTTTCTTTCATTTTGAGCAATTTTGCCTGAAAATATCAAATTTCAGTCTAACACGTGCTTCCAGAATTTTGAACAGGAGTTGGCCTAACAAAGGTTCTGTGTTCTGTTCTGCTCTGAACATACGGAGCCTAACTTTTACTAGCCACCTGAAACCAAGTCCCCCTGTTTCAGACTACACCGAAACAGCTCCCCAGCCAGCATCCTGTTCTGCTCTCAGACTGGAATGTGATCTCTGTTCTCAGCTGAGGCTAGGAAACTCTCTTTGGCCCAGCTCCACTGGGTACTGTCCAAGCCAAGTCTATCGCCATGCGCCAAAGCAGGGAAATCCAAGGCCAGGCCAGCCGGCCAAAGGTCCGGGCCTTCCTCAGCCATAATGGGGAGGAAAACATTGGAGCCCTTCCATCTCCCACCGCGCAGAATGCACGAGGCCTAAATGAGCAACTATTGTCATTTTTTACATCACAGGCGGTCTGTCCAATGATGGAACAGTCTCTCTGTTCAAAACAGATGCATGTTGTTGTATTTTTTACCCCACTCGTTCGCTCCAAGGAGTATTCTAAGGTGGTGTATTTTTTCCGTCACCTGCTTTGTCCATATAACAACTTTGTCAGGGTAGGCCGAGAACTACTAACCTACCATCATCTCACATTCCCCAACCATGGAGAAGGGCTGTTGCTCAGTGGCAAAGTATCTGCATCTCAAGCAATGGGTCCCAGGCTTGTCGTCTCTTGGTTAGGCTGGAGACAGACTCTTGAACCCTTGGAGAGTTGCTAGAGGTCAACACCAATGTTGTTCTATATTCAATCCAGTAAGCTTCTTGCCTGCAGTGGGATTCGAACTTGGGTCTTCCCAACCCCAGTTGTACAACTCTAAGTCCAATACTTTAACCCAACTCTCCAAGATTTACAAGTTGGTTTCTTCTGCCCTATGACTCCTCACACAGAGGAGCTCCACGTGTCAGAAGATATACAAATGTAAGGTTTCCTGACAATCTAATAATGAAGAATTTTATTAAAAATTACAATGCTGTCTGGTCTGACATGAAGCTGAGCTCCTAACAATCATTTGAGTTTCAACAAATGTGTATCATGGGGATTTTTTCCTCCACCACTATGACAGAAGAAGCAGTATACATGCCAGGAACTTTTGTTTCATCCCATGCGACTTCAGCCTGTAATTAGCACAGGATATTTGCCTCCACACTATTGCGTTCCACGGATCCCTACAGGGAAGTTGATTTTCTCACAGGGATTTAAAGATCAGAGCCCATGAGGATGAGAACAAACAAGATTCCAAATAAACCAGTGATTCTCCGTTCGCTTTTCATTCCAGTCCTGCCTCTCAGTAACTACAATCATTTGTTTTGCCAGACTAGACCAGAGAGAGGAAAGGGGGGCCCTTTGTTGCTAGTCAGCCATAGAGAGAACTGGAATTATACACAGCCTGAACTTCCTGTTTGAAACTGATAGCTATTTCACAGGCCAAGATTCTCTCAATATGATAAAATGCATGAGTGACACATCATCCAAATTCTGTTCTGGAAACTAGAATATTGATTTAAACCGGCTTTGTTTCATACTTGAATTTCGCATATGGACTGCCGTTGGGCAGTACACACTTGTCACAAGTGGTTGCCTTGCATTACTTCAAGATAATCCAGAAAATGCCTGCCAAAGGGATAACACTCCCAGTGCAGCCAAACTGGTGCAAACTAGAGCACAGGAAGTTCAGAGGCTCATCATGTCCATATAGCCCCAATAGCCACCCTCCCTACCAAGGAATGTCCTAAAATGCAGGAAGTGAGATTGGTCCATATTGAGAAATGAAGACCACGTCTTCTGTAAAGTTAAAGGCTCTTCATTACCTGTTCCAACCAACCATCCTCAAATACTTTGCATTACAGCAAGGACAGCTTACAACAATTAATTGTTCCTGGGAAATCCAGCTACTGTGGGGACTGCTTTGCTCAGAGGGCACAGGACAGCTTGAGGTAGATGGAGGAGGAAGCCACAGTCCCTGTTATTCGGAAAGGCCCAGACTCTCTACTATAACTGTTGGGTAGGGTGGAAGGACCAGCTGAACTCCTCCCCCACAATGCCTTCCTAATACAGGCATACAAATCCTGCATTTTCAATCGGTACCATTATTTCAGGTTTGCTTGTCACTTGGATCTTTTTAAAGATCTCTAACACTTGGCAGACTCTCTGCCTAGGATCCACTGGAGTTTTAATTCTGTATGTACAAAAGCCCAGTCAAATGTATTAGAAGAGGTAGCAAGGTTCAGGGAAAGGCTGCGCGTTTCTAACCCAGGAGGTATTCGTGCACAGCAGTCCCTAAACAGGCGCCTCCTTTTTCTGGCTGATCACGTTCTGCCCCCTACACTGCACTGCTCTCCATGCAGGAACCATCTCTCCCAGCTCAGTGCCTCTGATTGTGTTAAGAGTCTAAATGTCCTTCGTTCACAGTCGGGCCAGCAAGGATTATCAATATTGTAATCAAACACATCTGGGGGACTCCAGATTGTGGAGAGCTGATGACAGAAACCCATACAGTCAAAGGGAGCCCAGTTTAAAATTTAAGGAAGAGGATGAACCTCAATGTAGGACAGGGAACCCGGGAACCCTGGAAAAAAAGAAGGAACCTGTCTATAGGACTCTTGTGCATTAATGTCTCCTGGGTGAGAAATGTGCTACCATTTGCCCAAACCTTGCTATCCCTTCTAATTCGTTTGACTGGGGTATGTCAACTCATAGAATTAAACCCCTAGAAGATCCTAGGAAGAATGTGTGCCAAGCTTTATAGATCTTAAAAAGATCATATGACAGAGAAGTCTGAATGAATGATGCCATTTGAAAAAGCAGAGTTTGCACGCCGAAATGAGGAAGGCATGGAGGATTTCAGCTGGTTCTTCCACCCTACCCAATAGGTGTAGTGGAGCCAGGGCTCTCCGTGTCGAAGCTGCAAGCCTTTCTGAATAGCAGGGACTGCGACAGCATCCTCCACTGACCTTGGGCTGTGCTGGGCTCTCTGAGCTAAGCAGCTGTCACAGCAGCTGGCAGAGAAATGGATTTTCCTATGAACAGGCAATTGTTGCAAGCTCCCACGGGGTCCCTTCACCAGGAAAAAGATTACAGCTCCCTCGGGGTCCCTTCACCAGGAAAAAGATTACCTATAAATGATACAAACAAATAAACAAACAAACAAACAAACAAACAAACAAACAAACAAACAAACAAACAAACAAACAAACAAACAAACAGAGTATGGTTGGCAGTAGAACTAGAAGCGAAGAGTGTAAATCTGGAGATCAGCGCAGGCCAACAGCCTGCTAACTCCCGTTCTAAGCAACCGGCCCCTTTACCTTTGCTGCTGTCAAATTCGATGGGCGTGCAGCTGTTGCTGCCGAGATTCCAGGGACAGTAGTAGACAGCACCCCCCTCCACAACATCTGGTTGGTTTGTTCTGGCTTTAGGCGCTCCAACGAGGACACTGACACTGTAAGGAAGAAGTAAAAGGATAGAGTTGAAATGATAAATGCACCCTAAGCAAAGCTAAGCTGACTCTGATCAGATTGTGGACCAGTTAAATTTTCTATACTACGACTCTCAGAATCACCCAGCAAATTACATTCCCTCAAAGTAATTTATCCAGTCTATCATGATTTGGCCCCATTTCTACACCAGTCTCTTTCCTCTTCAGCTACCGCTATCATGATTTGGTCCCATTTCTTTGCAAACTGACTACACCAGTCTCTTTCCTCTTCAGCTACCCAACTCTTGAAGACCTCCTGATTCTGCCAGCCACTCTGCTTAACTCCCTGGAACAGGACAAAAGCGCCCTTGTGCAGGCAGCCAGGTGTACAATTCAGCAGCTGCAATCCAGCAATGAAGACACACACACCCCTCCCGGGGCCCCCAGGCCTGGGAAAGAGCTTACAAATAACCTAGCGGAGGCAGCATCAAGGGTCCTACAATATCAGAAGGGAGGGGGCAGGCAGGAGAATCAAAGAAGGATATCTGCACAGCTTGTTCTGTCTGCAAGCCAGGCGCATCCAATGATCCTTTGCTTAAAACGATCTGTGGCAACTAGAACTAGTCTCCCATTTCAAGCTCTGCAGGGAGCCGTCGACAGAGACCAATGATATCAGGGAAAGGAGAAATAAGTCAGAATTCCCAGTCTGATGTTAGGCTCTGGTGCAGAATCTGAGACTACTGACAACGGGAGGGAAATCTCATTCTTTGATCATGAATGAAAATGGGTAAGAGCAAAATGAGTTTAGCACTAATGGCTTGTGATCCAGCAGAGAAGGTCTCTTACCGCCATTTCAGGATATGGTGTTTTCCTGCTCACACCCTGGGGCACTTCTGCACTCAGCCTCTCCAAACGACAAGCATCAGCACTCTTAAAGCCAATAGTAGCAAGACAACCCGAAGCCACAAATTTCCATGTAAGACAAGGATGGACAAGTTGAGGTCCTCCAGATGTCGGTGGAGCGCAACTCCCATCCCTCCTCTTCAGTAACTATGCTGCTTAGGACTGAAGTGAGCAGCAATCCAGCAACATCTGGAGGATCACATCTGACCCATCTATGATGCAAGACAATCTGCCTAACTCATGAGAACCACTGCAGAGAGAGGAAGCCAATGAAGCTTGGGTGGGAGGGTAACTCAGAAATCTAGCACAGTTCAGGGTCTGTGGCCTGGTCTGCAAGCACGGATAACTGGAAATGCAAAAAACACTTCAAAAGTCTGCAACAGCTTCAATGTGTCCAACTAATACATCATAACATAGCTCTTGGCCAGTAAAACTGAACTGCACCCATTGGAAGCGAAACCCTCTTCAGGTACTGGATTCAAAATCAGTGTTCCAAACCTATTTGTTCATTCATTCTCCACAGTCCTATTTCATCTTTCCTTGAAGGAGCTCAAGGCAGCATTTAATTTTCTGGTTCCTATTACTGCTTCCCAAAAATCCTTTAAGGTGAGTTGGGCAAAAGAGCAGGATTGACTGGCCCACGTCTACCAATGACTCCCTGGGGACTCCAACAGAGATCTATCAAATCCCAGTCCAAAACTCTAATCACAAAACTCCGAGTCCTCTGCCGATTTTCCAAACCTGGACTTGAATGGAAACTCTCTTGCTATAAGAACATTGAGGCTAATGAAACAAAATTAAGGACAAGTCATTCAAAGAAAGGTGCCTTTTGGGGGATGCATAATACAGTATAACCCTGGAAAGCACTGCCACAAGATGTTCTCAAAGGCCCTCACTTAAATTCTCTCCACTTTAAAAAAAGAACAATAAAAACTATGGAAGATCATGTTTGGAGAGCATAACCCATACCAGTGATTTAAGAGTACAAGACTGAGGGTGCTGAATATTTGAGAGAAACACATCTGGGATAATGGCCCATGATCCTACAAAGTCTTTTCCTCTTAGAGCCCCCAGAGTCTCTTTGAGACTTTTATGGTCCATAAAAGCATTGATGTTTTCTGCATATGTGTATATCTTTTGAAATATTTGCAGCTTACCACAACCTGAGGAACATTTCAAGTCTATGAGGCTTGTGGTACATTTGCTTTTCCCCTTCCCTAATGCCCTAACTAGTCTCTCTGTGGATGCTCCCATAACTGGGTGCTTCAACCCTTCTTATCTAAGGCCTTTATCTAATTTCTGTTTACAGAGCCAGGTCCCTGTTCCAGTTAATTATCATGGCACCAAGGCAGGCAGTGGGATGTATGTCTCCCCTCTCTCATGGTGGTGGGGGTGGCCAGGTGCAGGTAAACAGTGGAAGGTCAAAAGGCATAATCAGCAGTGGGAATAAAGGCTCCCTTCATTCTATTTTCATTCAATTTTAAAATGCATTACTTCACTTAGAAGGAATTCCACAGCAGTGCAGATTTCTTGAAAAAAATAAAACTTATTAGAAAAAAAAAGTAACAACGAATGCTGCGGAATTCAGAGGTGTAATTATCCTAGCTAGAACGACCTGTTTCCTGAAAATTTTAAGAGGCAAATGAAAATATTATTGACCAAACACTAAAAAGAATATGGAATCAGCCCAAGTTGTATCTCCTTTGGGAGGGCATTGCAAAGCTGTAACAGCATCACATAGAAACCCCTCTTTTTGGTAAATGCCTAATAAAACATATGTCCCAAAGATGAGACAGGAAAAGTCTTCTCCCCAATTACCTTGGTGCAGAAAAAAAAGGTTGTTTTGGAGGATGCACTTCAGCTGTCTGGCTCCCAAATCATTTAGGACTTTACAGATAAGCATCAGCAAACTGAACTGGGCTTAGTGGCAAACAGAAAGCTTTCAGAACCAGGGGGAATGTGGTTCTTACAGCTAGAAACACCAGCCTAATTATAGCATCTGAAGAAAGTACACAGCCAAAACAGCAGGTGGCCCTTCACAACAGTCCAGAAGAAATATGCCAATAGGCCCAGCTCTGCTGAATCCCATCACCCATTCCTCTGCTTATATCAGGTTGCAAGTAATCACATATAGAGACAGTCTGATGTAGTAGATAAGAGTGACAAACTAGATCTCAGAAGAGTAGGGTTCAAATCCTCATTTGGCTGCGAAAACGCATGAGGGCAGGGGTGGAAATGGATAAAATCACTTTTTAATTATCTCACATACCTAGAAACTTCTATTATGGCCATTATAAATTGGTGCAAATTGACAGCACATAACATAACATCCACATATAACAGGAGAGGGGAGTTATGTGCCTTCCAGATGTTGCTGGACTGCAAAATTCACCAGGCTCATCTATCACAGCTAATGAGGAGGAGTGGTAGGAACTGCAATCCAAAGCCATTTGGAGGGACACAAATTTCCCATGCCTCACATACAGGAAGATTTTTAGATCAATGCCTTTGGAATATCTCACCTTCCTGGCTAGCAACATTCATTGGTGGTGTTTGTGACAGTTTTATTTCAGCTACTGGTGGACGGAAGGTAAAATTAACCTCATTACTCTAGACCCTCCCCCTCCATGTGTCACCTTGGCTTTTGGGCACATCATCCTTCCAAGTCCTTGGTGACTTGTAGCTTCAGATGATTACGGCATGAACAAACCACCACACATTAGTTGCAACAAAGAGAATTTTCCCTTCTCCAATTGCGACCCCCCCCCAATCTCCAGACACCATCTTTGCCTAAGGAGTCAGCCACAATGCAGCATGGATCCACCAAACCTTAAAGGATCAAAATAGCTGCACGTGTGCACCAGCCTCCAAGTCTTGATCTACCCCAGAAACCAACCAAACATACTCAATTAACTGATGTAATCCATCATTTTTGGATTGTTCGTTTAGCTACGCCCACAGGAAGCCAAACAGAAAGAGTTAGAGACTGACACAGCCCTGTTCTATAAAGATGAGTAAAAGCTTTGAAAGGCTCAAGTTTTATACCACTGTCTTTCTTGTATCCTGTTCTAGCACTGCTGCCTTGTTATCTGCACTGTCTGGTCACCAAGTCTGCAGGATGTGTGTATAGACACACCCTTGCGGGGTTCTACACAAATGAAGTAGCTTTTTTTTTTAAAAAAAAAGTCTGTTAACTCTAGAGTATGAAAACATATTTATCACACAGACCCAATCCTCCTAGAGTTTATAAAGGCAGAGAAATACTCAAACAAATATGAGTATATATGCAATCACATATTTAGCACTCAGGTACCAAAGGTAGGGCCAAGACTCTCCTATAGAAAGCATGCATTGGCTACTCTAAAACTAGCGAATTCCCCTCAGCCACAGCTACGTTGAATAACGAATAAAAACATCTTCCTGAAGTAAAACAAGATAATTTTGTACTAGAATGGCTTTCAATGAACTGAATTAAGCTGATATGCCAACGGACATCAGTGGAATTTTAATTTTGTTACTGAGGAGATTATCCTGTCCTACAAATGCAGGTTTATGACTTTGTGCACTTCTTTATATTTGATGTTACGTTTGTTTATATTGATGTTATGTTTCCTTCAGTGATTGAAGAAAAGTAAATACAGTTGTGCCTCGCTAGACAGTTACCCCGCATGACAGTTTTTTTGCTAGACATCGACTTTTTGCAATCGCTATAGCGATTCACAAAACAGTATTTCTATGGGGGAATTTTGCTGGACAATCTTTGGTCCCTGCTTCACAAACCGATTTTCGCTAGACAACGATTTTGACAGCTTCCTCTGCGCTCGCAAAACAGGTGTTTTTGGGACCTAAGCTTCGCAAGACAGTGATTTAAACAGCTGATCGGTGGTTCGCAAAGTGGCTTTCCTATGGCCGATTTTCGCTAGACAACAAGGATTCTTCCCCATTGGAACTCATTAAACAGGTTTCAATGCATTCCAATGGGGAAATGCTCTTCACTAGACAATGATTTTGATAAACAGCGATTTCAGTGGAACAGATTATCATCGTCTAGCGAGGCACCACTGTACTTGAAATTTTAAATACATTATTCCCCCATCCCTCTTCCCATAGGACTTAATATT